TGAATATATCTCGATTCTTATCGAAGTTAGGAGTAGTCTATACGACTATTTATACTCTCTTATCGACGTAGCTATTCGTTAAACTTATAATATAAGTATTCTCGTTCTTTTCCTAGACTAATCCTTAAGCTATCTTCTAAAATAGTCTTTCTAAGATAAAACGATACGTTAAGTCTATAGTATTCGTTATATAGATATTTATTAAGACCTCGATCTTAGCGATACTAATTATAAAATCTTTAATTATTCTTATAAACTTTTCTTAGTCGTCGTTAAAGTCTACGGCGTCGTAAATGAATTTAGCTTTTCGTATATATTAAGATAGTCTTATCTCTTTAACTAGGGCGAGAGTTATTAGATTAATCTCGGCTTCAGTATTTAGTAAGGAGTCTTTATATCGGCCTCTTATCTTTATAGATAGATAGAGGCACCCACTATAGTATAGCCTTAGGCGAATCGGGCGATTCACTAATGAATTTATTTATATCGTACCGACTTTAGTAGTAGATTTCTCTTTCGCTTACGTAAGTCTTACGCCGCTATCTCTCGGGATATAACTCTAATAAACGGACTCTTATTTATCTTCGTCGTAATACTAATGTTTACGGAAGAATTACTCATTCCGAATCTCTTTTATCGATAGTAAGTTTTCTATTCGAATTAAGATCTCTTAGTTTAATAAATAATTTACGATCTTTCCGATACTATTTAAATTCTATAATAATATCTTTCGAAGAGGCCTAGGCCTAGGCGGTTCGTACGTAGTCTCTTTTATAGTTCGGAGACGTAATAATATCTAACGAGGCTAAGAGAGCCCTAGTGAATCTCTTATTATAGTATTCTAGGAGGTCGAGTTACGTAATCGCTCATTCTATATATTATATAGAAAAATTCTCGGCCTCTAATTAGTTAAGCTAATCGAACCTAGCGATTTATCTACGATTCCGTTATATATAATTTCTTTATTAGATCTCGCTCGTCGCGCTATATATTATCTCGGTTCTTCTACCGAGAGTTCGTAAGCTCTAATTTAAGAGTATTTCGCTTACGTATATTCGTCTTATTAAGAAGCTAAGCGCTTTTCTAGAGTATCTACGTAAGCTTCACTCTAGGACTAGTTTACATAAATTTCTTTTAAATCTATAGTATTCGAGATATAAAAATTATCTTTAGAGTCGTTTAGAGTAGCGTAATTAGGTCTCGATTCGACTACGTAGACAATACTTAATCTCACTTCTAGTGGCGTAAAATTAGGGTCTCGTATATTATAAGATTATTCGGATATAACTTTTAAATTTTTATCGATCTCTCGCGTAATCTATTCTAATCTTTCTATCTTTATCTCTCTCGTAGAAATTAGTAGAGTAAATAAAGAACGATCTTAATCTTAGAACTTTCTAAGAGTAATTCTATATTTTAAATTAAGATATAACGCTTTTATAGCTTTTTAATATACTTACTAAGAATTATCTCGTAGTACGTATCCCGGCTAGTTATAAAGAAAATAATTTTCTTTAGAACTACTTAAGTTTAAATTTCGTTGACTAGACTATCTACCGTAGTACTACGATATTTCTTCGAATCGAACCGAACGATTCTAGAATTACTACTCGCGTAAGAGCTAAATCGCTTCCTAAGAAATACTCTTTAATATCTTAATTAGTTGAGTTATAAAGTTTAGAATAATAGCGTCTCGCGTCTAGATCGATAGTATTAGTGCTCTCATTAAACGGAATAATTTCTTCACCGATTAATTATTTCTCTTAGGGGTAGGAGGTCGATTTATTAGCGACGAAGTATTTCTATTGAACTTCGTTTTACTATTCGTACGATCGTTACGACGACGTTATTCTTACGATTCTTTCTTTCGAACGACTAAGGGTCGAGTCTTCCTTTCGTACGCTAATTCTTAGAACTTCTCGTTGAGTACTCCTTACGTAAATTTCTTATTTTTATTATTAATATCTTATAGTTCTTTTATCTAATTTTAGTATTTCTAAAAGTTTAAATTCTTCGGCTTTTAATTTATTAAATTCTATTTCTTTTAAATCTTATCTATATAAGTCTTTAGTAATTTTAATAAAAGAAGACGATAGTAAATATAGTTAGTCTCGGCTTCGATTCTAATTAAATAAGTCGTAATCTTACGAAATTAACGAAGATATAGCTCTAGATTTTAAGACTTCTCTCGTCGATACTTCGCGAGTATCTAAAGATATTAAATACTCATTATTCGCTATACTTCGTCTCGATCTTTATATTTATTTAAGATCTTCTCTTTAAACTTTTTCTACTTTATTACGTTATACTTAGCGAGCTCTTTATAGCGTTCTTTCTCTACTTTAGATATAAAGCGAATAGATCTATGAATACGTTCTTCGCTTAATATAATCTAGTTATATTTATATAGTTCTTTAAACTTCTCGAAGAAAGAGATAGCGTTCTTCTTATTAAAGTATAAAAGATTATCACTTTCGTTCGAGCTCTAAGATATTTCTCTTATTAATATTACGATAGAAGAAACGTATAATAATTATATCGTTAAATTTAACGTCGATAGATCTTATAAACTAATACTTAACATTATAGAAGGTCCTAGCTTTTCTTTATTATTCGATTCTTCCGTAGACGATATTTTCCTTTATTAAATTATTCTCACTTCTTCTCTTATAATCGAAATAGTGTAAAATCTTAATAGCGAAACTAAAAGATCTAAATATTTTATTATTTTTAGTACTTTTATTATTATTTTTTCTCTTCTTCTCTTTATTTCTTTACCGACTTTCTCGTTAAGCTTCTTTCTTATCTTCACTAGTAATTTTCATTAAAATCTTAGATTTACTTCTCGGTTAGTAGCGTTCTAACTTCGTTTATTTTAGCGAGTCTAGTTTAATCGCTTATTTTTATTATTTCTTAAGTAGATCCGCGTTCTTCGACTCCTTCTAAGCTTCTTAAGTTAGAAGTTTTTAGAGTTAAACGTATTTCTACATTTCTAGAAGATACTTCTCTTCTATTTCTTTTAGGTAGTCTAAATAGTCGTTAAGTCGTTAGTCTTCACCCTATATAGTGGTAGTAAATATATATAGCTAGTAATTCTAAAAGGCACCCCGAGCAACGGTCTCTATGAATAGCTAGCGTAAACCGCTCCGTATAGCGGGATAAACTTACTTAGCTAGTGATCTAAATAGTATACTCTACGCAGCGGTTCTATATATATAGTTAGTTTCTTCAGATTTAGTTAGATAGGTAGGTAGGCAGTTCTTTAGTTCTATTAGTTCAGTAAGTAGTTTATTTTAGTTATTTTTCGTAATTTTCTCTCACCGCTCGTAGAGAGACGCCCATCTATAAGTATTCGTCGAAGATCTTATTAGTGGCACCACTAAACTGGGGCGAGACTACTAGCCATGGGCATTAACTCGTACGGCGGTGAGTATGGTCTCTTCTCAACGCGCACACTTAACTAGGGGAAGTCCTCTCTATTGGTAACTTGGTTGCCTATGTATTGTATGAAAGATAGTCCCCCAGAACTATATAAGAAGAATCATAGTCTAGGGTCGGCGCCCCAGTTAATTATAACGCTATTCATCACTTCTAACTTCTCCTATTATAATAGGTTCTTTTGCCATAGCCTAATTATTTTTTGGTCATTAATTATAGATATATCGTCTGTCGTATCTAAAGCTAACCCAAATCACGAGGTAAATTAAGGCGGAACCAAGGAAGGAAGCATTAAAAAAGAGGGCGTGGCGGGAGAGTGAACGAGAACTTTAAGAAACGCAAAAGTAGTCTTCTTAGAAAGTGTAATGAGACAGCGAATAAATACTAAGTAGATATCTATATCGCTCTTCGTCGGAAAGGGAAGTACACGATATACACTAGTTATTTAGCTGTCACTTAGCCTCCCCGCGGAGAAGACATAGTGAGCCGCTCCGCTCTATTCACGTTATGGCTAACCCTAAGCTCTAACATAGGTCGGGTCGGGTTGGGTTAAGGGGGTAAGCGACCCGACCTCTTGGCGGGTTGGGTCGGGTCGCTAACTAGTTAACCCGACCCGTTCGTTAGTCCTGGCCCGTCGCGGGTCGAGTCGGGTCGACCCACGCTAATATAGACTAGAGTATACTAACTCTATAAGAAAGGTGTATAAGAGTAAATATAAGGTCTTTAGAGACCTTTATTATTACGGATTCGGCTAAACATCGGAAGGACGAACGCCTAATACATCGGAGAATAATCAGATCACCAACTAAGAGATACGACTTAGGGGGTGCATCCTTATTACTAGCACGCTTCCCGCATAGAAGGCGCACTCTTCCCTCTCTTATGCTTAGAGTCGTGTACAGTATCGACCATATACTATAGGGATACCTTATTATTAAGGATCACCACTAATCCTAACTAAGTTAGGGTTCTCAGCAACAATCCTAAGATAGTATGAGCTGATTGTGAATAACGCAAGGTATGAGCATATTAAGGATCCCTACTGATCCTAACTGGGTTAGGGTTCTCAGCAATAATCCTGATATAGCATGAGCTGACTGGGGATCACGCGCGGTATGAGCAGGCCTATGTTACTAAGAACTGTGTAGTCCAGTAGATAACATGAGTTAGCTACGAAGAGAGTGTAACTCTCTAGGGGAGTGAGGGTGTATATATAATGCCTATGCTCTATTGCGCTCTATTCGCTCTTTGCGCTCTATCGTGACAGAGCCAACAGGGCATCTCACGTGATTCAGCCTTGTTCTCTCGTGGAATCCTCAATACGTTCAATGAGTGTAGTGAGTCGCACCCAGGTGACCCGTGATCGGTCATCCCTAAGGCTGTGTCCAACACTTTTTTACACACTTATCGCTATATTCTGCCTACTTGCCAAGGAATCCCTAATAAATCCGCATTATGTCTTCCATCGAGCTAACCTTAGACTTAAACGCGTTGTCAAGGATGGCCATCGTTATCATGAAGAGAATCGGATCTAAAATAAGAGTATCAACTTTAGTTAGAATTTAAGTTTTCCTGGAGAGCTGTTAGTATGCTGGCACCGAATCACGACGGAGAAACCCACGGGTTCGGCTTCTTCTGGTACCCTTTAATATACTTTAGGGTGATCTCCATGGTAAGGAGATCTCGCTTCGCCACTGGATTCGGGAGTATCACCAACGTCACATCCTCATAGTAGAGAGTCTTGATATCTTCCCAGTCTAGATCCATTTCGTTATGGTCGCTACTAGGTGCATCGTTTTCCTATCCAAGGTAGTGTTCTCTTTGCTTGGTTCGATTAGTCGCTTTATACACCAAGGCCGCCGGGCTAGTTGCCGTGTACGTAGAGAGTAGAAGTAAGAAAATGAGCTGTAGGCGTTGTCGTTCGTCCGGGAAGACCGATGTGTCTAGAACTCAGTGATGGTGGAGAACGAGGAACACGTCGTTAACGTCTATAACTAGCTTTTCCCTCACGCCCGTGTCGAGGTTATACTTAATAGTTAAGTATCCATCAATATACTACCATAGATTAGCGATCGGTCCCGGAGATAGGAAATTCTTTATCCTCATATCACGAACCTCCTTCATCACTTTAGTATATAAACCTTTGCTAACGGACTTACGATACAATATACACCACACTCTCCAATATTCATCTAACGTACTTCTTTTCCGGACTCGAGGGTGAACGTCCAATATCCACTTGAGGAAGGTCATAATGTCTTCCTTTGTGGCACGCACAAGGAAGCTAAGCCTATCTTCTCTAAGAAATTCGTAATATCTAACTGTGTGTTAGTATCGGCGTCTCTACTCGGTCCGCTCCACAGAATACAAATCCTCACCTTGTCCATTTCATCATCACACCCCAAATATTTTCTTTCGTTGAGTCCGCATGCCGCTTCTTTACGGTACCCTTCTCGGCAAGTTGTTGTCGATGGCGTCGATAATGCTCAGGCGAGAGTTGGGTGATTGTCCTGCGACTAAAATCTGTACGGCCATTCAGCCTCGAAGAAACCACTCTTCTCTGCAATTCTTTGCCCCTGGTAATGGCCGATAGTGCAGAATGGTAGCTTATACGTAGGATAGTATAGCTGGGAGAGGGATTCTACACGGAGAGGAGAGAGACAAAGGTCGCGGTCGCCGGCTTAAAGGTAGAGTTTAGGTGTAGTCGGTCGTGTACATAAAACAAGGGTGACGAGACGCGGTTCGAGAGGACTTCGTGAGGGTCAGAGAAGGTGCTCTTCTGTAGGAGACTGTGAAAAGATCCATCGAGATCCTTGATGCGCGTCCTGCAGGCGCCATACTTGGGGCAGTGAAGGCATCCATTCTGTCGGTGAATGGACGATTCCGTTGTTTCTGAAGGGGACTGTTTCTGGTCCCACTGAAGCCAGCATGAGTGGAGGAGTCAAGTCTGCGACGAGAAGAGACTAGGGTCGGCGTTCTTGGCACTGAGGGAAAACAACCTCCAAAAGCGGCGGCGCGTACCACCATATTCGGAGGGAAATTTCCCTGCAACTTGCGTTGCCCTGTAGACAGAGTGAGAGTGGAACTGTCTGCTTGATTGTGTCTTGTCCCTCTGCCCGTTCAGAGAGACTCTGCCTGTGTATATACACTTTGGCCTGTAATCTGAAGGCCATTCTTGCAATCTCCTATTCTGTTGCGATGCTGTCGCAGGTCGGTGAGAATAACGGTGTTGAGGTAAATGCCATAGTAGGTGTGACAGCTAGCGTCTCAGGTGGTTTGCCCCAGTGACTATCTTGCAACCCTGTCAACAGTTTTCTAAGCGGCACTTTGTCTCAGCTGTAACAGATAGAATGAAATAAATTTTGACCAAATTAGCCTATCACGTCGGAAATCCATGTCCGCAAATATTCCTGCTCTATCTAGAGCGCTGGAAGCACTCTGGGTTTCTTTTGCGACGACGATGGCCAGATCTGCCAAAAAGAACTTGGCAAAGGGTCTGGCTGAAACGAGAGATGGACTGTGCTGGGAAAGTTCCCGCCGGTGCCCGGGGGCTTTGACGCCGCTGTATCCAGGCACAAGGACCAAGTCGACCACTTTGCCTGCGGTACCGACGGTAAGGTCTACGCCAGTTGGTCGAACTTCGTCAAGCATCAAAGGTCAGGAAGAACGCTGGTCTGACAGCGTTCCGTCGACTTGAGTGATCCTCCATTGAGCCTTCACCTAGTCCGTCGCTTCACGGATCCAATGGGGTTGCGCCCCAATGGAAACGAAGAGATCTGAAAATCTTGACGATCGAGTCAAGAACGAGAAGTCACCTGGGTGGCTCAGAAGGTCAAAAGGATCCGTAGTCACTGAGGTCCGCCTTAAAGCCTGAAGAGTCGTTATGTTATTGCATCCGCGGCGGGACAGAGGCAGCGTAGGACGTCATTCCGGCCACGCGAGTGTCAAATTGAAAAATGCTGACACTTTTGGCCTCGCTGAATGTAATGTCCTGGATAAGGCATTGGCAAAGCCGTATATATTTGAAATCGTTAACTACGTTGATCTCCGGCTTCATGAAGATCATTAGACCTTGACCATTTCCGATTCCTTGAGAGATCGGGGCGCCAACGCGGCCGAAAGAGGGTGGCTCGTAGCTATCCAGGGCGGAAGAGATCGTCCATCCGACGAATTTCTTCTAAGCCACACTCAGGGCGAGCGGGACGACGTAGGCCGTTAGCAGGATAAGCCACGTCCACAGAGAGATGCTGCCAAGAGCGACATCGTTTCTGAGGACTACGTCTAGATTTTGAAGTCGGGCACTCGAGTTGACTGCGAGCAAAGCAACAGTCCTAACCGACGACCTCGGAAAGCTTTTCCTTTCGCCGTCAGGAAAAAGCGTAACGCAACCAATCGATTGATTTAGCCAACGTCTCGTGCGACAGGCCTGGCAGCGATGATGATAGTGCTAGCAATCAGGCAAGAGAGCTGGGTGAGAAGGGTTGGAAAGTCCCTCCCGGAAGGTTGTTTCTTAACTGACCGCAGCCCTGGTGAAGAGTATTGTTGAATGCTTGTCATCAGGTCGTCTGATTGCGGTAGGATTCTGTGAGAAGACAAGCCTACAGCCTCATACTGAGATTGTATCTTTGCTGTCGACAGCCTCGCCCAGATGGTTTCTGTTGACAGCAGAACGCCGCTGTGGCAAACCAACCAATCCACCATTGCTTCAACCGAGGTCTCTCTATAACAGCCTCGGTGCCACCGTTGGTCGATAACGAGGCCTGGACGGATCTGTTCAGCGAACCGCTTGTTGCCACCGTGCAAATAGTACATAGATAGGCATCGTCCCTCAGAAGGAGGACACAATCAAGCAAACAGATCCACTCTCACTCTGAGTACAACAGTTTCTCTGACACCTGAGCCTTGAAAAGCGGCCGGCGATCTGGCACGAGAAAGGGAAAAGAAGTTGAGCATTGAATTGGATGGCACTGAAAGAGCATTATCAGGCTGAAGCTATATTTCACTTACCTGGCCCTATTGCATAGTCCGCGCCAGGGCGCCGGAAGAGCATCTAATCCGCCCCCATGAATTTGCTCCCTTCAAATTCCTGGCGTCAGCGTCTCTCACAGTTCATCGCCTCTACGTCCCCCCAACTGCGACGCGACTGAGTCGACAGAAGGTCCTTCACCAAGTTGTTGCTGACTGATAAATCTCTGAGAGCCACAGTAAGAAAGACGAAGGTTACGCCTTCCACCGTACAGTTTCGACTAGTTCTTCAAGGCGACAGACCGGTGCCCCTTTTCATCCTCTAAACGTTTTGGAGCATGGATCGGATGAAATACTAAATCACTCAACCTCTCAAAGGGAGTGTGTGACTCAGTGAAGGTGCCACCATTTCTGCCGGTATCAATTGCCCTACGAGACAACAATCCTTTTCTCTTCAATGAGTGATAGAATGAACGAATAAATCCTTCAGGTTTTGGGATACCCGGGTATGAGGATGTTAGCTCACACTAAATTACATATATAGCCCAGCAGCGGAGCCCTGCCCAGGATAGTTGAGCCATTAGCGCCTTGGCGCCTATTGCTCAACGCATTCAAACTACTACCATCCCCGTTGCATCCATCTCAGCCCATTGCCTCACAACGAGGCTGCTTAAATGAAGGTACCCAGTAATAGACTATTGGACTAGCCTAATTGAGCAAGCCTGAATATCTCTTGGCGCTGCGGCACGTATATAAGCCTTTCCTATTACAGACAGAACTTCCTTCCTTTCCAATCGATCGACCAATCAATCAATCAAGTTATGGCCCCCTGGATTGGTCCAACATGGATTTCACAGCAACAACTTAAGATAACTAAGAACCTCTCAATATTTGTCCCTCATCCCCTGCCTGATTTGAATTAGCGAATATTTCCATCGTTCTGGTAGATGCAATGGCACGACAAGTAAGAAATGTATTTCTGGTGGCTTTGTCACGTGCCTTGCTTTAATGCCGCTGCCACGTCAGCCTCATTCGAAGCTGATAAGAGATGAAGATACGATATCGTAGGCTCAACCTAGTGTATATATCGCGGAATGGCTGGCGCGGCGTACACGGAATAATCCCCAATCTACAAGCTGCACATTAGAGGAAGCGGCATTCTCTAGAGCGTTAACATGACTATGTCCCGATGGCGAACCAACGTGCGGACGTGCCTCAGCCTATGGCTCGCTATCGCGTTTCTGCCCGCGAAGGTGTCTGCGCAACAGGTCCCTCTTACGGCTTCGGTCCCTTATCAGCAATACCTCGACTTCACCTCCGCCGCTCCTCACGTCTTTTCCTCATTGCGATATCTGTTAGATCAGTGGCCCAACACTTACATTCCGAATGGCCACTCGATCGTGCCCTGCGAAGTTCCTGCCTTCACGAATCTCTATCACGGGAGACGAGATGAGAAGCTCCCCTCGAGTCCAGAGTGGCTGGCATTTGACGCGGAAATGTCCTACGGCATTATGGGTTCCAGCCGAAACTCACATTTGCTGACGTATCAGAACATGAGGCCGGCACATTGTCTTTATTTCGATGGCATGTCCGCGGCGCTGATGGGGACGGGCCCACTGGATTCCCAGATGGTGTTCCTGTGTGGGAATACGACATGCTCTCAGGGAAGGAATGAGACGTGGCGCGGTCTCCTTGACGAGTATTCTCGTGCCACAGCTTTGTGCGACTGGGTCCAAAAGAACAAACTGGGCAGTTTGGGCTGGGGGATTGAGGGAATCGTCAGGATGAACGCGGGTTTCGAGATGATCTGGTGCAACTTCACCAGCCCGACCTTGCGACTAGTCAGCCATGTCAATGTTTCTGTGCCATTACTACCAGAAGGGTTCCGAGACGATGGACCAGTAGATGAAATGGCACCGATGGAAGGACCTCTCACGAGTAGTTTGACTTTTGCTGAAATGCTGGCCTCGCGGACGAGACCCGCATCAACTTCCATCAGCGGGCCAGCCTCAGAAATTCCAACAGGGGAGCCGGACATGCCTCTTCCACCGAATTGGCGAAGCAAAGCCGAGCTGGAACCATTCCTGCAATCTCAGAGCTTTGAATGGTACCGGAGCGCGACCTGGCATATGGGCAGCTCAGACTCATCTATGGGACGACCCGAAGGTCGAGTCCGGCTAAAGTTCTGCGGATTTCTCAGCTACTATGATTCAATGCTCAAAGAATTCTCTTCCGTCTTCGCACAAGAAGAAAAGGCCCGTCTGAATCTCACGGCAGACGGAAGCTGGAAGGGCCCAGGCAGAGACGGCAACTACAGCCTTGCTTTGAAGGAGCTCTCAGCGCGCCGCCGCTCACACAATCTCTCCCAGATCACGAACGACGAAGCCAGCATCATGACCAATGCTGTTCTGCACACGCTCCGCTCTCTCAATCACTCGTCTTCCTCTTGCACGGGCATCGACTGGACTCAAAAGGCAACGGACATAACCTCCCGCTTCTCCCAGCCCTTAAACCAAGTCCTCCGTCTCCTTACGTCCCCACCAACCGACACAACCAACACCACACTCACAAGGGACTACATCGCCTCGCTCCGCTCCAAATCTCACGCCATGCTCATGCCCTACATGACCTACCCGCTGATCGTCTCCTCTCTCCCAGCAATCCATGCCCTCTGTACAACAGGCCAGACATCTGTCCTGCACCCGCTCCGCCCTAGTCTTCTCCCAACGGAACAGTCCCTCCTCGACACCTTCGAAACCGTCCTCTCTGCCATTTGCAACACGACCCTCTCACTAGCCTTCTCCGTCGAACAGACCTGGCAAACATACTACCAGCACAACAACAACAGCAACGGTTCAACCTCGATGATTCCCACCGTGCCCCACTCAGTCCTGCACACCCTCGTCGCGCACCACAGCGCTTCCATCTCCCTCCTCCGCGCGTGGCTCGGCTGGTTCCCGGACGAAATGCAGTGCGACCGAGTCTGCCGTGTCGACGAGTTCTGCTTCATTCCCATCTGGCCGCTCCTGTACCTTGAGCCGAGAAGTGGGCGTCCTGGCGGTAGAAGGCCGCCTCACCGACCGGCCGCACGAGGGGGAGGGCAACAACCTCCACCCAGGAGAGGACGGGGAAACCCTTGGGGAGACTTGGAGAGTGAGCTGTGGAAGCCTCGGTGTTTAAAGCTTTTGGATTAGATTTGATTTGGATTGGATATTTTTCTTAGATTTAGCCTGAGAGTGCTAACTCTATTTGCCCTCGCGAAAGATGTTGAGGTAGTATATCGCACCGTTTCAATAATGCGAACGAGACAAGTCGAGCACAGGTAGTCAACAATGTGCGTCAATTTGCCCGTTGCCCGCTCCAACGGCTATATGACCGACGATGGGGTTTGATCAATACTTGTGTGTCTGATTGTTCCGACAATTCCCGTAGGACTCCCTCGTTGGAGCCATATTGGATGTATTTGAAGCTTCTGCACGGAGGTACAGGCCTCACACAAGGCTCTAACAAGCGACAAGGTTAGCTGGAATGGAATTCTCATGGCAAATAGGTTACTTGGTACGTAGCATAAGATGACTCTCTGTATTTACTTCATCTTACGCAATATGTCTGGATTAATGCTTCCTCCCGACTGCGGCGCTCATCTGCTCTCACCGAACCACTTCGGTTATCTCATTCTTCACAGTTGAGACACGAAATACATACCAGAGCGTGGCGGCATGGGTTTGTTGATGGGGATAGTCAGTTCGTTCTTAGAGATACCGAGCTCCATGATGAAGCAGTCACGATTTGTTTGCTCCAAGCCCTGGCTGCTGCGAACACCCCAAATCTTTTGCGAGCCAAATCATTTGGAGGAACAGTAGCTATATTATGTAAATTGTCTATGATACCCAGATGTCCTGAGACTGTCAACCTCCCAGGACGCCACCTCTTTCGGATTTGCACTCTAGAACTCCGACCATAGCCTCGCTACCTGTAAATATTTGTTGGTACACATCTGGCCATGTTGGCGGCTTTCGCCCCTCGAACGATATTCGAACTGAAATATTTGAGACGTTTCCGCGCAGCAGAAGCTGTTATTTCGCCTCCTTCAAATTCACATGGAAAGCGCCACGAATGACACATTCATTATGCCTTGTTGAGCATATTGCGGTGGTAAATTTTGTCTTCACAGTTGACGGGTCCTCATGGCAACCATTCCCCGCACTTCATAATGAATGTTCAGGACGGCATCCCCCAGCAACGCCAAATCTAGCTGCAATCCCAGGAAGTTGGGACGCGTTAATTGTTTCTATCCCTCCCCCCCATCGCTCAGCCCCTGATTCTCATCAGCCTTTCCACTACCGAGTCTCGGACTCAATACCTCCGTTTCACCAAGGACACAACTTCCACGTTTCATTCTTCTTATCCGTCCGCCAACAACACCCCCCTGGCTAGCATATCTGTTGCAAATCATCAAGATCCCTGTCTTCGACTTCCGGTGCACGTCAACAACAAAGCCCACACGAGTAGACGACCTCGCAATAGTGTTCAAACCTTTCTTGAGCATGTTGGCTAAGCCTATCGACCAGGTAAACTACAACAGATTTTTGTAGTCGGGGCTAACAGGTACTCAGATCAAAAAAATCGGAGTCAAGCCTCAGAAAGTCACATCTTCTGATGAAGACCCTAAACTACCATCTAGACCGGACCTCTCTCCGGTTTCGAATCTCCCGTCCCTTCAGACGCTAAGATGTGCCCACCTAAGGGGTTCTCTCTTCGCCACCTACCATCATGGCAGCGGTGTTATGAAATATGTTTCGTAAGGTCACTCCTTTCCAAGTCTCTCAAGAAAGAACATTCATCCGCCGAGAAGACATTCAACAGAATATATAGTTCTAAAAAGCCCATCATGCGACCTTGTAGAATGACGAGCACATCACCGCAGTGAATATCCCAGCAGCAAAAATTCGTGACACCGACAGAAGCTTTGAGCATTAGTAAGTCCTACCACAGACCTTTTGCAATGAAGTCTAATGACATCCAGCGATTCGACAAGGCAATTTGTTCCAGAAGCAGCCAGATGGCATGACTCCAGATTCCTCCAAGCAAGAGAATCAGCTACTCGAGGAAGAGCTGACCGAGAGGGCGACCATACTAGAGCACCTGCAACATACAGTCCATGCGCTTGAGGGACAAATCGACCAAGCAATTCAGCAAAAAGACGAGGCAGACCCTTGTGTTGCCAACGTCGAGGAGTACAACAGAACTCTGTTGCTAGGCTTTGCGAACAAGCATGCTCTGAACCCTCGTGAAATTGAAGAGCTCAACATCTGCAAGTCAAACGAGTGGAGAAACCTTCGCCAGGCTTTTGAGATGTCTCAACACACATGTGCTGAACTCGTCGCAGCGAACGAAGAATTGGTCAAAGCAGCTGACGACCAGAATGAACAGGAGTCGCAATTTCGAGAGGACAGCGATGTTCTAAAGAAGAAAATGCAAGACTTTCTGCAAAATTTTAGATCGTAAGAGGGAAAGTCACAATTTCATGAAGATGCTTAAGGATCTTGTCAGGGTGAAGGCAGGGTGCCATGGAGAAAATTTCTGGCTTTGAAGAGGAGATTTTCGAGTGCGCATCCCACACAGACGAGACAAGGGAGGCCTTGCAATCAGCTGCACTCCAAGGATCTGAGCTCAACTCGAAAATCGTCACTCTAGAGTGAAAGCATCAGAGGGAAGTAGCCAGCCTGTACGAGCGGATAGCCAACTTGCAACAGAGCAAGATCAGTCTCGATGAGACGAACTTCGCTGTGCGGTTGCAGCTGAAGGATGCGAAGGATCAATTGGAAGCATCGAAAGCTGATTTGGGAGAAACAAAACTCCATACCGAGAACTGGAGAGCTTAATGTCGGGAGCAGGTTTTTGGAGAAATGGCAGAAGTTGTTCAGCACCAAAACCAAGTGGAAGTTGAATAACTTCAGGCCAACATCGAAGCGCTCCAACATCATAACACGGAGCTTAGCATCAGCCGGCAGCAGGCCGGGTAAGAATTGAGCTATTGCAGATGGTGGACTGCAAACAAGATGGCCGGGATCCGTGAGCTTGGGGACCTTCGTGATTGGTATCCGGGCCCAAGTCGAGGCTCTTCGTGAGAGATTCCATTGAGAGGTGTTGGCCGAGCCTCTTGATATCCCGTACAAGCCAGGCTTTTGAGGTTTGTCGGAGGATGAGAAGGCCCAGTTTCTCGAGGCCGAAAACCAGATCATCGAAGGTTCGACCGGGTATGATTTGGAACTGGTAAAGGAACCTCGTCCGCAAGATCTGCCGATGGTAGAGGCGTGGCTGCCATTCGTGGATGCGTACAAGTCTGGCCAATCGAAGACGGGACCGTTGGCGAAACCTCAATTCAGTACCGAGTAGAGGAGATTCGATCTTCTTCCGAGCGGTCCGCCTGCATGTGAGAGGGCGGAAGATGACATGCTTGGATTGGCACGATCGGACTGTGTATGTTTCGACAGCGAGAGAGACTTTAGGGACACTGTTGGACCATGAATGAGACTATCAACCGGTGAAGAATGGTCAACGTGAAGCAGGGATGGGACAAGGGTTGAGGTGAAGGGGTGGTGGCACCTGACAGGCCGCAGCTGGCATAATCAATACCATGTGACTGTCTAGTACTGTCAAAGTAACAACCCGACCAATCCACTTAGCAAACTGCACTTACCAAGTACAAGTAGAGTTAATACCTACGCTCCAACGGCCAGCATATCGACTCCTAGCTCGTATCCATCCGAATCTGGGTCCACGCACGATGTCCTTTGTTAGCATGCTCTGGCCTGGTAATCGCCCTCTCTGGCGCTATATCGCGTATGTTATCGTCCATTCTCGAGCAGTCTCATGATATGTGGCCCGTTCACGCAATTAGAGCTGGGCGCCTGGAAACCAGGATCCTGGAGGTGCATAGGGATCTTGCATCGTGCAACAGATGGTCAGTAAACCTGACTAGTCGGGTCAGCTTTGGATCGAAACGTCATTCTGGGGACCACATTTATTACATTTTGCTACGGAAAGGCCTGGGCTCCAGGCGTCGCGCAGAATATCAAGTGAGATGCCGCTAAACTCGTTGACATTGGTGTGGAATATATTGGCCGCGAATTTAATTCTCGGGGGCTTCCAGGGGTAATCCTGTGGAAATCGAATATCGAGGAAAAAGACTCCGCCCGCATAGTCTGAATCCGAATGGCCCAAAACGGAGGCTTGCCAGTGGAATATATCGTCCCTATCGATCCACAACTCGCCCCGTAAGGCGGATCTCTCACAATGTTAGTAAGTTCCAACATTATCCTTTTTTCAGCGGCCGTTCTCTCCTTGGGCTTCGACGACTCGTCCAGGGGCTGTCGGTTGTGCAGATCTTACTTCTGTTGCAAGTTCAAATTTATTGAAAAATTCAGGGCGGTTTTTGATCGGCGCCGAATCTGCCGGTCCAGATATCGGTGTGTGGAGACGGGCGCACTCGGAGGCAAGTTTTTGTCTGTGCTGCTGGGCTTGGGGGCTGTTGCGATTCTGGAATGTCCACATCAGCCTCACAGTCAGCTGCCGTAGTCTCTGTCTAGGAATCGAGTTCTGTGTGTCGAAAATTGAGCTGGTCCAAAGAGTATAATCCACGGCACCTGACACTGGTGAAGTGATGCCTTTGGTTGTTGAACTCCTAGAATCCCTGGCTACATTTGTCTGTTGCGGGGCGAAAAGACCTCCAACAACATCACGATCATGGGCTATTGTCGGGTCGAAGTCCATCTTTTCATCGTATGTCTCAATGGCTATATCTTGAATTTAATCCAAGAGCAGTTTGACAACTGCCGTATGGCCAGCAGCGGCTGCCAGGTGAATTGGAAGACCCCCTTTTGCAATCCTGCGCAGTTATATCAGACTTGTACCCCAACAGCAGTTTGCAAGTATCGATGTGGCCATTCTCGGCCGCTCTATGGGGTGGGTACTGCGTTGTTCGGCCTGATTGAGCTTTCCCCCAAGCTGGAGCAGAAGCCCTTTCAACACAGTTGCCTCGTCCGATAGCTTCCTGCGTTCGTTGGAGCTGACCCGGACTTGGGGTAGATAGTCCATGGAGGCCACAGCAGCGCTGATGATCTGGATCAGGCTCGCGCCCTCTCTAATGGCCTCCGTCGCGGGCCTCCTGTTCGGTATTCAATGGGCGGTTCTAGATACGAGCAACCAAAGCAAGCATCCGGGCGATTAAAAATTGTTCTCCGGATCGGCTTACGGCTTAGCAACAGGCCCTGCACCCATAAGTATTTGAGTCGCCCTGACCGGATACAAGGGCGTGCTTATGCAGAGCTCCTGAGGTCGTCGACTTTCCAGCGCCAAGCGACGCCTAGTGGCTACCCTTGTAAATGCTGTGCTTGGTCATAGGTGCCTTCCAAGAGCGCTCCTCTGCCTTGGAGGGCGCACTCGTCCGAGAGAGACAGTGATTTGGGGGAAATTGGTGGCTCAGTGGGTTGTTGGATGCACCTTTGCCCCAACAAGCTGCCCCCCCTTGCGGCTGTGTCTTGTGACGTGCTCTGAGCGCTTCGATCTGATTGCTTGCACCCCCCATACCTGGTCCGAAAAGTGTCTGAAGTGATTGCTGACCATTGCAGCGAACTTAGACGCCTCATTATTGTGCTCTCGTGGCTGTACGCTGGTTGTCGCTAAGAGGGTTCCAGATCGATGCCTGAAGAAGTCCAGCTGAAGTGGTGAAAATCAATGGGGACTTCTGTTAGTGGACGTTCACTCACTCTTGCCGTGGCTAGGATAAAAAGTAGGCACGGAGAGGCCTGGACCGAACTCATCAATGGTGTCCTCAGTACCCAAAAAGGCCCGGAAGATGAAAATGCTGATGGTACTGTAGCTTCGGGAGTACAAGGTACGTGGGGGCGTCGTCATCTTGACGCCTGTCTAAAACAGATGCCTAGCCTAGAGGCAGCTGTAGCCGGCAGTAGTTAGGAGCCAGGTCATGCCCTCAGGTGTGTTTGCTCAGCGATGCTCAGCTAAAACCTCAGGTTAAAGCGGCCTGCGCTCGCTCTGTAGGATCACACTGTATATGGCGATTAGGGGTTTCGTTCCCGAGTAATAGAGGTACATACCTAGAGTACCGAGTATGGAGTACCTGTCAACTTAAGGCCACCAGGGTGCCAGGGGCGCAGCATTACTATGTACAATGACACCATTTTATTTTCAAGTACAAGCATCTCCCGGGAGAAAGTCTGCAGAGTATGTTGGAGGCTTTTCAAAATTGCTTTCGCACAGGAGCTGCGATACGCCTGTTCCCACTACAGGTTCCAGCACTTCGAACTCTCCCCAAGACTGCCACCTTTCCTCGGTCATAGTCGCAGAGAAACCACTTATGCAATCCAACGAGTTTTCAGCTTTGAAGGTCCGATCCACCCTAGTCGATCGCACCAAACCATCAACGGCATGTGAGCCCTGCCGCAAGCGGAGAGCAAAGGTAAATAAATGAATTCCCGTTTTTACAGATTGAAGACGGACCAATGGACTAGTGTGACCGACGTCGACCAGAGTGTTCGCAATGCCTCAGGAGCTTGAGGGCCTGCTCAGGCTACCGGGATAAGATGGATCTGGTTATGCGGCATGAGAATGACAAACTTGAGCAAAAATATCATGCCGCGTCGAAGCGGGATACGACTCATCGCGGACGGATTTCCTCCTATTCTCTTTCACCTCAATCCGATCAGTCGAGTTCCGATCGCACCGAGACCTTGGTTTCTTCCATCGACAGACTGGACATCAATCATGGAAAGAAACTTGAATGGCAGGTTGGCCGCATCACTCCACCCTTGGCTCAGTCGAACAGCGAGGTGGCCATCCCCTTTTTCGTTGCCAACTTCGACCAAGGAGTATACCTTGATTATCTGCTTAAGTTGTACGGGACCACTAACTGGTCACCAATGCTCAATGCAAGCTTTGAAGCAGTGGCCATGTCCTACCTTGGTTCTCACCAGCGCACCACCGACCTGAGGCGAAAAACAATGGAGAGGTACTCGGTGGCGTTGCGGAAGACCACCAATGCCGTATCTACACCGGCAACGGCTGCCCAGGATGACACCGTTGCCTCAGTCATGCTTCTAGCTCTCTTCACCGCCTTGTCATGCGAGGATACAGCCGAAGCTTCGCGCATCTGGTCAAAACATGTCAATGCGGCGATGAATTTGATGGTCTTGAGGTCACCTCAAGGACCCGACGGACCCGTTGTCCAAAATCTGCTGAGCCATGTTATCGGTTCGATCCACCTCGACTGTTACGCACAAGGCAAAGCCTTACCACGTCTTCTAACTCTTCTCCGCCACCAGTCTCTGCTCTCCACCGACGACTTTCAACTTCGCTTTTGGGACCTGATCGATGCGTTGATAAACTTGAGGCTGGCCACTGCCGAAAACCGGATTCACCATCTTGATGTGATCAAACAAGCGCTCGTTCTGGACGGGCAAGCACAGGCCTTGTATGGAGAATTGGCATTGACTCACGACATCATAGCCCATTCGGAAGGAGGCATCTGCATCTCATGTGACTATCAGAGTCACCGTCGAACGCAGGCATGCAACACAATGCGCATGATTCGGGTTGATTTGAACGAGCTTCTCTTGAGTCACGCAAAGCGGTGTATGACGTTGATTCATGACTGTCACAGTACCTCAGATCAAGAATGGTTGGAAATGCAGGCAAATCGTGCTACTGTGTTGATCCGGGAAGTCGTCGAAGAACTATACGAGAGCATACCACCTTTCCTGAAAAGGGGTCAATATCGCCGGACCGTCGCGAATCCAAGAACAAATAGTGACATGTGGATATGCAGCTTTCTCTGGCCTCTTTCGAAAGTAGCCGCGTTGTCGGATACTCTGTCAGTGGAATTGAGGGATCGGATTCGCCGCCAACTAGAGCACTTCGCAGAGATCTGCAATAATCATCAGCTCTCCAGGGCGATCCTTCAGCAAGCGCAGGGCAGGTTCACGCTAGTTCAGTATGTATTGCTCCCGACCTTAGGGCTCGACTCCGCCTAGACTGACGCTCCCGCAGATTTCACGCGCTGTATCTCTGCTAGCTGGGCGGAAAAATTGTTAAAGTGACCCTGGAACGCTGTCGTATCTCGGGAATGTGGTACGGGAATAGGAGTGGATCGCTTCAATGGCGAGGAATGGCTGTAATAGCTCAAGGTGTTGTGTCTATCTAATGGGCTGTCTCTGCAGGAGTAAGTCGGAAAGATGAAGGAAGAAGAGAGGAAGAGAACTAAGAACATAGGTCATGCCAAGCCGTGCTCTTTCCGCCATGTGAGAGTCATCTCATGCGACAAACGCGCTGTACCAGATCAGGACCAGCGAGAAGGGGCCCTCTTCTAAGCCCCCAAATGACGCTACAATATTTCGAGCATATTACCCAAATGGGATACGCTGTACTACTCATTGGTGGCCCTACATGGCAATACCAGCATTGCAGGCAAGCCTACGCTGTTCCATCACGGAATATATATATCTCGTCGGGGAAGAACTCTCTCTCTCGCCATCACATTCAACACCTACTCACGCCTCATCTTGCAAGGAGACTCTTGTTCAATATGCTCTTGCTGAGCTTGTGTCTAAACTTTACCGAGCTTATCCAGCCAGCGTACGCCCGCCGTCGTCCAGCTGCAGACTCAGTTGGAAGTAGTACTGGTGGTGCTTTGCTGAAGAAAAATACCCCTCCTCCTCCTCCTCCTCCTCCTCCTGCTGCTGCTGCTGCTGTAGCAATGCTCCAGATATCGCTGGCGGTGAGTTTCCTAACCTGATCGGGTGTCCACCGATTGTGTTATTTGTCTGACTCGGAGTTCTGCTCTTTCTCCTGGAAGAGCAATACCCTCAGCTACTATCAGACCACGAAAAAGATTCGACAGTGAAGATGAGATAGATGGGGTCGAAAATTGTCAACAACGGCACTCAAAGCACATTGTCACGAACCCACCGTTGTCCCCAAGTACTCTACGCCCTCCACCCGAATCGGGTGGACGGTATAGAAAGAAAAGGAAAGGATAAGGCAAAGGACGGTTAAGACACAAGGCTATCGGTTAACGCTGCCTTACCCTTTTCACGTGACAGAAAGAGAGGAAGCTATAAGAGTCTCCTCTCACCTAAATCGGCTGAGAGAGAACTCTTCCTTTTTCTTAAGCGTTGAGTCGTTGTTAATAGGGCTACGTGAATAGAATAAGGCATTTAGCTACTCTAATTCCTTTATATCTACTGCGTTACGTAGGTCCCTAATAATTCTTAACGCTTACCTATCACGTAGTGATACTATCGAGCTAGTAGTAGCTACATACGATTCTAGGGAGACCCCTAAAAACCATCCTTACTAGGGTAAGTTCCCACCTAAATTAGGTGAGAATGAACCCTCCATCGCCCCGAGATAATAGGGCGCCCGAGGTCTCGTCGGGGACTGTCGATGAAGACCCTGCGATCACTGCGGGCCCTATAGACCCGCGATACCCCATTTTCACGCCTACGGACGTAAGTGACCTCGAAGAAATAAATGATAAATAATTATAGACCGAACTATCTAGGCTTAAAAGAGAAAGAACACGGCGAGAATAAATAGACCGAATCCATTACCTACGGAGAGGGGATACTCTTAGTATAGAATAGAGATTAATATAAGAGACTACAGTATATTCTCAAAGTCTCCTACCTAAATTAGGTAGGAATAATAAGCGACTAGCCATAGATAATTTAGCTAGCTACGCGAAAATCTTTAAGACGGATCCTCCGAAGTATTTTAATAAAGGTAGTTACTAAGCCTTAACCGAGTTTATTATGGGCATCGAGATGTATTTCGAGTCCTACTACTAGGACCTAATAGACTCTAAGGTGGCTAAGCGAACTATTTAAACGGCGGTAACCTAGCTAGATAAAGAGCCTCGTTAGGTATATTATAGATAACGCAACGTACCCGCTAGTTAGGAGGAATTCCTTACGTTTCTTCGAGACACCATTAAAGATCTTTAAACTCGTACTTTTAAGGCTACTTATACTGCTTAGTTTAGAAAGTAATAAAAAGAATAGAGTATTCGTTAGTACTTATATAAACTAGAGTAAGTAGAGGCCGAGGTAGAGACATTAAGGCTTACGGAAGTCAAGTAAAAGATATAACGTTTTCTTCACGATCTATAGCTTAATATTCGTAACGTAGTTATAGTAGAGCTATAGAAGATACGTCTTAATAGAGATACTATTCTTACGACCGCCTATCGTCATAAGATACGTTTCGCGAATGAGTAAAAGAGTAAGACTAAGGAGAAGGATACTTTAGAGAAAAGAAATGAGCTCTTAAAGTAAAAGATATCGATGGCTATAATAGAAAGTAAGAATAGAACTTCCCACCCGAATCGGGAGAAAAAAAATATATCTAGTTCGCTAAACGTATTAGCTAAGCCTAAAGCTAAGTAGAGAAAAAAATCAACGTCCTCGTTTATTCCTAAGTACTATAATTATCATAAGGAAGGGCATCTAGTACGGAATTGCTCTAAAAAGGGTATAAAAAAATAGATACTAATGTGGTAAACGTAGCTACCGTATTAGGGTACATTTAGTCTACGAGACACGGCGTATTGGAGCAACGCTGTGTAAGCATTTAAGTAATAGTCTGAGTAAAGGGCGAGAAGCATCGATTACGGGCCCTTATGAACTATAGGGTATAGGACGACTTTATCTCATAGATAACTATTATTAGGCTTAGTTTAAAAGGCGTTCTATCAGATATATTTAGGAAGACTATGAATAGTCGGTAGATCACTATTTACGGCCGTTATAGCCTCGAGATTTAGGCCATTAATAACCGGGGGAGGACTACTAAGGCTAGACTTAATTTATTATCTACGAATATTAAGAGATTCGATATAATACTCGGTATACACTAGCTCGAAGTAATTAATCCCGATATTAATTTTAGAGATGGTATCTAGGTAGTAAGAGATCTAGACCGCTAAACCCGAATTAGTATAATCATAGCGTAAGAGCTTATTTAAGAGAAGAATAAAATCTACATTATATAGTATTAATCTTTAGAGAAATCTTAAAGGGTTTCTTACCTAAATCGAGTGAGGTAGTGTTTCACCCGCCTCCGAACTCTTATATTAAGTAAAGACGGAGGTATATCTTCTCTTTATACTAACTATAGCGACGTAGTATTAGATTCGGGCGAGGCTTAAATTTCACTAGTGTCGAAGGTAGAGTATGTAATTAATCTTACGCTAGGTACAATAGTACTCTATGAGCCTATCTACCCTTTAAGTGGTAGAGAACTCGAGGCTCTAAGAGAATATCTCGATAATATATTAATAAAAGAGTAGATTCGATGAAGTATCTCATCTACTGAGGCTCTCATTCTATTTATTCTAAAGAAAGACGGAGGACTTCGCCTCTATATGGATTATAGAGGGCTAAATAAGATTACGATTAAGAATCGTTATTTATTACTCTTAATATCTGAGATTCTTAATCGCCTAGTAGAAGCAAAACTCTTTATAAAGCTAGATCTACGAGATACTTACCATAGGATCCTCATTAAGGTAGAGAATCAGTGGAAAACAGCATTCCGCACTAGATATAAATAGTTCGAGTACTTAGTAATGCCTTTTAAGCTGACGAATACCCTAGCTACCTTCTAGGTATACGTGGACGAGTCCCTAAAGGGCTTACTAGACGTTTTCTACATTATATACATAGACGATATCCTAATCTTTAGCAGAATAGAGAAGGAACACGAGAATCATGTTAAATAAGTGCTCGAAAGACTCCGGAAATTACGGCTTTTCATTAAACTCAGTAAATGCGAGTTTCATATAAGAGAAGTAATATTCCTAGACTTCATCGTTAATAAAGAAGAAGTTTCAATAGATTCTTAGAGAGTAGTAGTTATCCGAGAATAGCCTATCCCCTAGATATTTAGGGATATCTAGATATTTCTAGAGTTTACTAATTTCTATAGGGGCTTTATTCGTAATTTCTTAAGAGTGGTGGCGCTAATTATAGATCTACTAAAGAAAATAAAGTATAGCGTGAAGAAGGGCCCTCTAGAATAAACTCTAAAAGTAGATGAGGCTTTTTAAGAGCTTAAGAAGCGCTTTAAAAGAGCCTCTCTACTTCATCATTACGATCTAGACCTAGAGGTAAGAGTAAAGATCGATATCTCTAGTAGTAAACTAAAAGATATATTATTCTAGAAGATCACTATTCTCTCATCTAAAACGGATAAGAAATCTTTATTCGTTTAGAAATCTATAGCCTTCTACTCCCGTAAATATAAACCTAAGAAAATTCGGTACTCTACGGGTGACTAGGAAATACTAGCGATTATATACGCATTTAAGGAATGGAGACATTATCTAGAAGCTCCCTCTAAGATAGTGACTATAGTTACTAACTATAAAGCGCTAACTCACTTTATGAATATAAAGGTGTTAGCTCGAAAGAGATAAATACGCTGGGTAGAAGATCTAGTAGTATTTAATTTTCGTATTGAATGGAGGGTAGGTAAGAAAAACCTCACTAATGGCTTATCTAGAAGGCCTAATTATAAGCGAGCAATTTTAAGTGCTGATAAATAGGGCAATATACTGTATAAACTTATAGCTCTACGCTTAGAGCCTCCACCTAAATTAGATGGAGACGGTAAAGTACCGATATCGATTAGCGCTATTCGAATTACGATATTAACGAGAGCGTAGTCGTTACGAAAATCGCATTTAAGGGACAGTGAATGGAACACTATTTTTAGCCTAATATTTTCTACTAACGAAGTAGAGCTAGAGTAGAAGAGCGATAAGTTAAATAAACTCATCGAGAACGGTCGCCTAGTAAATGTAAGCTAGGCGACCCCTAAAAGAGAAAGAGCGCCGACTTTCTCACCCGAATTAGGTGGGAGAGTAAATCTAGAAGCTTAGATTCGGGAGGCGTAGAGTCTTAATTAGTTCGTGAACGCACGAATGTGAACAATCTCCGTAGATAGAGGGCATTAAACACTAGATTAAGCGGGAATAGTTCGACGAAATGGACTTATTTATATTTCTAATGATCTAACGATTAAGGCTAAGATCCTAAGGGTTAATCATAATGATCCTTAGGACGGGGATTACTTTGGGCGAGCTAGAACGCTCGAAGTTATTTAGCGTTATTACTAGTGGCCCAGGGTAAAGAGAGACGTTTACGAGTATATAGATACTTATAATATATACTAAAGAATGAAGATTCTAAGACATAAGCCTTATAGAGAGCTAATCTCTCTAGCTTCGCCGATGAAGCCCTAGTAAGGTATTACCATAGACTTCATCGTAGAGCTACCACCGTCTAAGCATCGGAATAGCGTCTACGACGCGGTACTAGTAGTAGTAGATAGACACTTAAAAATGGTGCGTCTCATTCTATATAAGTAAGATATAACGGCCTAGAAATTAGGGACGATCTTAATTAATGAAGTCTTCTCGAGATATAGAATATCTAAAATAATTATAAGTGATAGAGACTCCCTATTTACGTCGAAGTATTAGGAGACGATGTACTATTATCTCACGGTTAAGAGAAAGCTATTAACCGCTTTTTATCCATAGATAGACGGATAAATAGAGCGGCTAAATTAAGTACTTAAATACTACTTAAGATACTATCTAAATAACGAATAAAGTAACTAGGCTAAACTACTTAGCAGTATAGAATGGGCTATTAATAATAGCCGGAATAGTACGATTAATATTATATCGTTCTAGGTAATATATAACTATAAACCCAGTATAAAAAGAAATCTTAAAGATCCTTATTCACCTAAATTAGGTGAAAAGGAACCGCTCTTAATTTATAAGAGAGTAAGATAAAATACTAAGAAGATTTTAGCTATACGAGCTCACTTACGAGAATCCTAGTAAAGAACGTAAGAAAAGATTAAGAGCTACTATAATTAGCACCGTAAGAATATAGAATTTATAGCGAGCGATCTAGTTATACTCTTAACGAAAAACATTAAGTTACGTAAAGCTAGTAAGAAACTCTCTAATAAGTATATAGAGCCTTTCTACGTTAAATAACGAATAGATAAAAATATCTATTAACTTACTCTATCTAAGCGTTATAAATAAATTTATTTAATATTTTATATTTTACTTCTTTAGACTTATCATTAACGCTAAGGAACTCTTCCTTCTCCACCTATTAATATAGATAAAGAGAAAGAGTTCAATATAGAATAGATTCTAGACGCTTAAGAAAAGAAAGTAAGACGACGTTAGTTAGTTAAATGGCTAGGGTAGGGCTATAAACATAATATATAGGAACCTAGAAAACACTTCACCGATGCCCTTATACGAAAAATAATTAGAGAGTTCGACGAAAAGCACGGCGTACGTACTTAATAAGAAATATCTCTCACCTAAATTAAGTAAAGATATACTTAGTTTCATTATAAAGAGCTACTTATAACCTACGCTACGTAAAGGCGATATCCTTATAGGTCGTTTTGAGGGTCCCGACCTACCCCTAAGAATAAGTATTACTTTACTATTCATATATATTCTATATTTTAGGGAGGTCCCGACCTACCTCCTAAGAATAATGTTACCCTACTATCTACTTATATTCTATATGGCCCTAATGTTAGTACCATAAACGAGAAGAACGACGTCGTCTAGAGACATCGTTATTTCAGCGACTATAGACTTAGAGACGTTCTTAATTTATATATTCGACCTACATTTTAGGGCCGCGAAGAGTAACTAACCATACGTTCGGTACTCTCTAGCGAGCGCGGACGACGATAGCGGAAGAGAAGAAAGAGATAATAGTCTTCTTTAAGATCGGCGAAGTCGGAGAAAAGAAGAGAGAAGAGAAGGAGTCACTAGAATAACTAGTACTCTAGTTTATTTCACTATTAGTGATTTCTCACTTAAATCGAATAGGAAGAATAAGTATATCGAAACCCGAGCTAAAATTCTCCTCATCGTCATTGACGAAGATAGAAGAGGTCGGGAGAGAGGGAGCCACTATTCTAATTAGTATTATTCCTTCACCTCTTAATATCACTAATAAAAGATGAAAACGTTTATTAAGACGTTTAGTAAATATTAAATCTCTCTAAGATCGGAGAGATCGACATCGCCGCTAACCTTATAAGTACGGTTAGCTTTTCGAAATATAGACTTAAGTCTCTATACTTAGGACTTAAGTCATTTTCTAAAATAGATATTAGTAATTTATTACCCGAATCGAGTGAGAAACATCTACATCTAATCGGCTAGAATAGCCGAATCACTACTAGTAACGGAAATTACTCTCTCGATGAGAGCTTAAAGGATACGATAATCTACCTATAGATTAACGGGGACCTAATCTATTTAGTATACTATTAACCTTAACTAAATTCTCACTTACGGTAACGTAGTCAGCGCTAGGCCGAGAACGAGAGTAAAACTTATACGACTTAGATTAAGTTTAGTCGTAGAGCAAGGCAGAAAAAACTAGCTCCGAGCTAGGAGTAGACGGAGAATCCGTAAAATCGCGGAAAGCGCTTCTTTCGTTAGTACGCTATCATTATTCTAATATTATAGAACTTATAATTCTTACTAATAAGGCTGGCACCATAGTCTAACTAGAACTAAGTATCTAGCCGGACTTCCTCGTACGTAAGAGACTATATATATATTAGTAGCGTCTCTCACCCGAGTGAGGTGAGTAATACTTATACATCTTATGGTTAATCTAAACGAGGAAGAAAGAGACGAAGAAGGCCATAGCAAAGGGCTTAAGAACTAAAGCAAAGACTAAAGTGAATTGAATCTCATCCGCATTGCTACAACAATATAAAACGGCTGTCTCACCTAAATCGGGTGGAAATTTAATTACTTACTATTATTAGTGAATGACTATTTAACTACTATATTATTGTCTTCGTCATTAATAATTAAGACGGCCTATTCATACGATGAATTAAGGCTATCTTTATACTCGTAGCGACTCGAGGGCGAGCCGCTTTTTGAAGGGGAAGCAACTGTCACGAACCTACCGTTGTCCCTAAGTACTCTACGCCCTCCACCCGAATCGGGTGGACGGTATAGAAAGAAAAGAAAAGGATAAGGCAAAGGACGGTTGAGGTACAAGGCTATCGGTTAACGCTGCCTTACCCTTTTCACGTGACAGAAAGAGGGGAAGCTATAAGAGTCTCCTCTCACCTGAATCGGCTGAGAGAGAACTCTTCCTTTTTCTCAAGCGTTGAGTCGTTGTTAATAGGGCTACGTGAATAGAACAAGGCATTCAGCTACTCCAATTCCTTTGTACCTACTGCGTTGCGTAGGTCCCTGATACACATGATATATAGCAATGCGGACCGTGGTCCCAAGGTGTGAAATTGGCGCAGATAGAGCATAGCCGTTGATATCGGTTCGACATGGATGCTAGTGTTGACAGCTGTGTGATCTGTTTAGGGTTCGCCCAGTGGGCTGAGATTTGGCGGCTCAGAAATCAAGATCGACAGGAAAGATACTTACTTTTGAAGAATATCTCCGTTTCTCAACGCCGTCGTCTGGGATTTGGTTGTTTCTGTTTCGCTCGAGATGCCAGCTGTTCGTCCGGTGATGTATGGTGTACATATCAGATACTATGCTCTTTGATGGTATTCGTAGGCATTCGGAAAGAGAGTCAGATTTATAGATCAGAAAGAACGTGTAGCGAGTCTAAATTTTGTAAAGCACAAATCAATGCACAGGCCATACAGGCTAGGAAAATCACAAGAACCCTTTGTTCTCGCCTCTACCTCAAGTCAACACAAGGGCCGCATTTCCAAGCCTTTTATCTCCCCATCGCGACCTGCAACGCCGGAATTTGAATCTCCTCAATTAGCCCCGTCTGGGCGTCCCTCCAAAACACGACCTCATTTACACTCACACCGCCGTACCTCAACGGATCCAAGTTCGAGACACAGTAATCGTCCCAGATGCTAGTGGCGTTCGTAGGCACCTCAGTATCATCAATCACGTTAATAAAGCGCCATACCTCGCCTGTACGATTACTACCGCCCGAAGAAGGACCCGGGATGGCTCGGAACATGGGCGTGAATTGGAAATACACGTTGCCGGTTTGGCCGCTTTTGGCGCCGGAGACGGAGAGGAGGGCGTGTAGCGCGTCTGCGGAGTTTGAGATCCACGCCGCGATGGATAGGGATAGAGACAAGGATTGCGCGATGGTGATTGAGGAGTTGAGACCGGCTGAATTCTGGCTGCACAAGGATCTAGAACTCATGCACGCTGATGCCGAGTATGTTCCCGCGCAGGTCGTTTTGACATCTTGCTGTGCAACTCGCTTGGCGCCGAGGACGAGTTTGTCACGGACGGCAGCAAATACATTGTCCAACGCGGGTAGTTCTCCGGCTGCGGCCATAAACACGACAAGGTCGTAGGTCGGCAGAATGATGCTGTAGCTATAGTATTCCGTGCCGCCTCCGCCCTTGGTTACGAAAGTTACCACGCGCTCGCTGTCGGGCAGGATACTTGAGGTGCGGAAGATCTCCCACGCGTAGCCAAGGAAGGAGTGTTCGCCGGCCGAGTATGCTGTGGGTGAGAACCAGTCAAGAGAAGGCGTGATGTTGTCGTGGTTCAGAAGGCAGTGGCGCACGAACAGAATCATGTCCGAAGAGGAACTGTACAGACCCGCAGCCTTAGTGATTGACAAATGTTAGCATAAAGGAAAGAGTATATAGTCTGGCCTAGACACTCACGCTGCGTCAACACCTGTTGCCTGGCCCCAGGCACTTGGATAGGGAAGTTTCGCGGCACTTTGCGCCGGCGGCGTGAAAGAAGTATTGTTCAGGCCGAGATGTTGCAAAATTGACGACGATATATAGTCCCCGTAGTTCATTCCTGAAACATTGGAAGTCACCAAACCAAGGAGATCATAACCGATGTTGCTGTATGATGTCTCCACATGCGGCGGAAGGACAGACCCATATTGTGGCAAGGACTGCAGAAGATCTTTGATGTTCCGTCAGTATCTTACGCGAGGGCCAGGGCGTTCAATCCTGACCTTTCTCAGTACAAGGTTCTGCGTAGTTGCGGAAGACTCCACATGGTGGCAGAGTGCTCATTGTTTTATCCGACACAGGAGGTAGCCCGTACCCAGTGGGATTCGCAAGCAATAAGAGCAAATCATCATCCGCAACTAGCGCATATTATCCAGTGGGTGTTCCTGTGGTCAAATCTTCTGGAGAGCTTACAGGTGTCTGGGAGGCCGGTTATATGTGCGAGCAGAGATCTGATTGTAATTCTCTCCCAATCGAAGGAGGTTTTGTCGGCCTTGAGATCGTGCACATAGCGTAATATGGAATCACCCAGATCTAGATGCCCCAATGCCTCTTGCTTCAATACAGCCAGCGCAGTGAAAAGTTTTGTATTGCTTTCGATACGAAACATGGTCGAGCCGTTTATAGTATTTGTTGGGCTGTCTTTGGTTGCCCGAAGCATTGTGTGATAAAACTTGAAATGGGTTTCTTTCGAGGAGGAGATTTCTAGGGCGAATGAGGTGTCATTGAATGCTTCTTGTTGCTCAATCAACGCATTCAGAGACTGTTGGATGTCGAGGAAAATATCACGAAGCGCATCGTTGGAATAGGATGGTGGATAGAAGGCATATTCGGGCACACAACCACCCATAACGGTCTGTTGCCAGACAGTGGTGGTAAAGGCAAAGAGCAACAGAGCTGAAGTTATTCCAGCCATCTTGACGTGTTTTCAGGAGGTATAAGAAAGGATATAGTGCTCAAGATCTGTGAAAGAGGTTTTAGAGCCCTACAAATGCTTTAAAGGTGCAATTCACGGTGGACGCCTGCTCTGGCGTTGATAGATACGAGACATTTCGGCGTCGTCTCTCAGTTAGACACTGAGATTTATTGTGGGCACCTTAGTGCAGCCAATCTCGCAGGTGTCGTCCGAATTGAGTATTATGTTCGAAGTGCAACATGCCTTACCTCTATATCCACATAATTTAGGGTCCCGGCTAGTGGAAGGAATCGAATTCAGCCCCGCCCCATCACCCATGTGGTGCATCCGTCTGCGAGATCGTCAAAAGCAAGATGACTTTGGTATTAGCATTAGACTTATACTAAAGATGTAGATTCGAGCGAAAAATCTGCCCTCCATCTTCCCCTTGGACAGGCCGCTCGCCTCCTTGCTCATCCCTCGGCTCACCGCTTCTTCCTGAGCGCTCCCGGAGTCTGTCTGAACCTTTGGCCTTCGTTCTTCCGTTTCACTCACAACACCAAACTTTCGTCAACTTTAGACGATGGATCCGTTTGAAAACGGGGGGAAGGGTCAGTTATTACGCCTACATACCAAACAGGCATAAGGCGAATACCGAGATCGGCAGAAGCCAGCGGATAGAACGGCCGGGACTTGGCACGCAAGTACCTAAAACGTACTTGCCGCACAGATTCAACCGACCTTCCTCAAGGGCCTTGAGTCTGTGTATGAACTACCTATAGTTGACAAAGCTATTACATTTATCATTCCTTCATCAATCGCTCTACTCCAAGGGCCCTATTATACAAGCATTCAGGAGTTCCGTGCCAGACGATCCCTCCACATCTCGCGCAAACAGAATACTCGGCTTAGCAACAGCAATGTGAACAATCTTGTATGCGCGTCGAAGGGTACCCGAACTCACTTCCGACAGTCCGAGATATTGATTTTTCCTCCCCGACAACTGTTGGGATGCATTCATCAAAGCCTGCAATGTGCTCACGCCTGAAGAGCCGCCATCTCGCGCACAGTTACGTCAACAAGGGCGTAGGGGCTGACACGATGGGCGTAACCTGTTTGGAGGTCAGCTCCAGAGGTGGGGTTTGAGGTGAGGGACTTACAGATTTTAATGGTTTCGACGCCGAGCCATTGCAAACTCTTCTCGCATGACTTTCTGCAGTGCTCTGGAGAGCTGTCCCGAAAAATTTGCCGGGTTAATGCCAAATTCCGAGGCACGAAATATCTCGTTTCGTTTTCTAGTTTGCTTAAAACAGGAATGTCCTTAATGGGGACGTCCCGCAAAACATGATCTTGATATGAGCCGCTCCGTTGCGATAGTCTCACTGCTCATTCGGTGGTAGATTTCTAATGTTCTTCTCCCAAGGGCGCATCAGGCGCATGGAGATGGTGGGAGTTCCCTTGAAATGGCAAGTCTCCTCGCCGCCATCGATCCCATGTCCACTGTGAATTGAACCCGCTCTGCTTGAACTCGATGCAAACGCTCGCTTTGAGGAAGGGGAAAAATTAGAGATTCACTCTTGTACATATTAGCACAGTTACTCGTGCCGATAGAGCTGATAGGGATCATGACGAAGTTATTCTCCTTATCCTAGAGGCGGTTATGGAGGTACTTTTCCGCGGCCAGCTCCTTTGCCGAAGCCAGGGTCATCACAGAATTGGTCTTCTCGATAAAGCAGGCCAGTTCGCCAGCTGGTATCGCTATGCTCAGGAGAGATTCACAGGTTTCTTAAGGCAAGAATTGCTAGAATCTCTACTGGGTACAGCGAACTCAATCCCTCCACTGGCTGTTTGTCAAGCAAACTCTTGGCACTGCGGACTTCCGTCAAAATGGTCTTAGATAGACTAGATAGATCTTTTCCTTCTTGCAATGAATCAATCAATAGATTCAATCTAGACAAGACCCTTCTCAGTCCATCAGCTGAGAGACTGATAAAGACATTTTTGCCGCGGTGCAGCTTTTGAATTGTCTTCGTTGATAGGGATTTCACAGTCACTCGCCTCAGGTTCCGAACATCATTGAGACGAGTATGGGCGGTAGCGTCAATTCCTGCGCTCAAGTCCCGAATCAGTGATCTGACTGCTTTTTTTGCCGCGCGGTAGTTAAAGGCCGAAAAAATTGAGGGTCATTGGGGAGGATATTGTCATTCAGACCACCATGTCGGGGCACTAAGCTCGCTCGGTCTGGTATTGCTGTGACGATGCTTCAAGTTTGAATTCAACCCGAGTATTCGATGACAAGTTGGATGATCTTGAGTTAATATCTGGCAAACCTCCGAAGGCGCTAGATGGTCTGCCCTGTCAGTTTTAAATGTTTCCCGCAAGCCACGCCACGCCGGGTCCCAGTATACTCCGGCCATTTCTCAACCTATCTCCACTACCATTCGCTGTCATATTCGAATGTACAGTTATAATATAATCTATATCGTTGAGGGGGGCCGGGAAGAGAGTCTGCTTCCACTCCTCCTACTACTCTTCCCACCCGAAGCGCAGCACCATATTCCAGTAATTGATCTTCTCTATGAAATCTCCAGAACTGCAGAGAACAGTCTTTGCCGGCATACCTCCTAATCACGGCCTCGCCTCCTGGATGTTCTTTGATAAATTGAGAACAGTTGTAGACTAGTTCGTCAATAACTATCCCTGTGTTTGGTCAGCGCCTATTGTAAGGCATAGTTGGGAGCAGGACTGTCGAACACAAAGGTCGCTGGTCATCCATGCCATTGCAGTGCTCCACTTCTTTGGCTGTTTTGAGGGGCAATTCACTCACTCTTCCCGAGGAGTGGGATTTGGTTGCTGGATTATGTGCCATGAGAGAGAGACTATCAGGCAACGAAGACACTGAGCACTGTAGCAAAAGTCTAGTTCCACATTTCGATGGCAAACTGGTTATGAAGCCAAGAAAAGTGTTCGATGTTCTCGTATGTCTAGACTCTTCAAGAGTCCTAGAGCCGACGGAGATACAACCATGGACCGACAAGCCAGACGGAGGTCTTTGAGATTTTTACGCACAATAAGATCTAAGCCACCAACTAGAGATCGGCGAATGTAGCCCAAAAGATAATAGCCTAATGCTTATGCCGGGGTGCCGCTTCGGTATGCTCCAATTTGCACAATGCCGACAGCCTCGCGCCCCGTGCGTGACCCCTGGAAATTGCCGAACGGGGAAGGGTGGGGCTTTCTTCGGCAGGAGGCAGACTTCCTCCATAGACGCAGCGGAGAGGCTGAGGCTAGATGGCGGACAGTGCCGGCTACTCAGTCGCTCAGTATGGTGGAATGAAACTCGGTAGATCCCAAACGTGTCATTAGGGATTGCGAGGATTCTAGATATCCTTCGCTGGGCTTGGCTTCAATGTCCAACCCTAATAGGGTGTGTTCTAGTTTGACACAAGTATTTCCATTACCCGGGGGACAGTTTGTATCACACAATGGAGAGCGAAATATTTGCGCAAAACATGCTAGGCAACAAGATGTCTTCAGCAGTGCAACAAGATACATCAAGTGGAAGACTTGTCGGCGGTATCGATGGTATCAAGAATTCCCCTTCCAGCGTCCCCGAGGCACCTAGGAAGCCATGGGAACAGGTGTGCTTCGATCCTGCGCTGAAGCCCGAAGACTATCAGATCAAAGGTAATGGTGGTCTGGACTAGGTGCAAGGTGCAGCAGGAACTAACATGTCAATCAATATAGGCACGCCAGACGATTCAACCTTTCTGATCTTAGATGTCAACATCTTTGACTCCACCGGTTCCCCTCCATACAGTGGTAATGTCCTTATTCAAGGAAATAGAATTACCCACGTTGGCACTTTTCCAAAAGTTGATGAATTGATTGCAGACCCCAAGGTGAAAGTCGTCCGGGGGCGTGGGAGAACGTTGATGAGCGGGCTTGGTGATGCACACACCCATCTCTCGTGGAATTCTGGGGACATTCCCGCCCTTGCAGGGCTAGGGGTTGAAGAACATACATTGCTAACGGCAAGGTCGGCACAGACTTACATCGATAGTGGTTATACAATGTAAGTGATGCCAAAACAATCTGCACACACGTCCATATCAGGCCCTCATGACAAGCAAATAAAATAGGTGCCTAGGGGCTGCTTCTGCTCAAGAACGGCTGGATGTGGTAATCCGAGATGCCATCAATGCCGGAAAACTGCCGGGGCCTCGATACTTGGCCAACTGCAAAGAAATCACCCATCCCCAGCAGGCCGTAGGTCAGAACGGACTTTCAGTCATCGCAAATGGGCCTGAGGAGATGCGGGCGGTGGTCAATCGACATATCGACCTGGGCGCCGACAGCGTTAAGCTGACCATGTCCGGGGAAGAGATCTGTGAGCCGTTGTCTTCGGAGAAATGCTACTACGATGATGAGGAGACGGCAGCTTGTGTGGAAGCGGCACACGGTCGAGGGAAACGGCTTTGTGCTCATGCGCGGTACGCCTTTGACGTGTAAACAATAGGGGTGATTTGCTGACGGAGATCACATCTGCAGAGCTCGAGATAGCGTCAAGATGTGCGTCAAGCACGGTGTTGACATCATTTTCCATGCCAGTTGGACCGACGAGGACGGCATGGACATGCTAGAAAAGAACAAGCACAAGCACATGGTGGTGCCAGCGATCAATTGGCTTTACGCAACACTGTATGAATCCGAGTCGTATGGCTATAAGATGTCGAAAGAGGAGAGAGACGGATATGAGAGAGAGTTCGAGAACGCGAAGAAGGTCCTGAGCGAGATGCATCAGCGAGGAATCACTGTGCTACCGTAAGGCTTGCCCCACATTCGTTCTTATAGGTATTCTGATACCAAGCATCTAGAGGAGGAGATTATGGCTTTGCTTGGACGCCCCATGGCACGTATGCCCGTGATCTTGAGCACTTTGTCAACTGGCTGGGTTTCACTCCCATGGAATCTTTGCTCGCTGCTACCGCTGGTGTCGCGAGCATCTTCATGAGAGGAGATGAACTTGGCCAGATCAAGCCTGGATATTTCGCCGATTGCATCCTGGTGGACGGGGACCCACTCGAAAACATCGCCATCTTGCAAGACCACAGCAAGCTCGATCTGATCATGATCAATGGAAGGGTACACAAAGCTTCTCAGAAGGACTTTATGACTTCTGCCGAACGAAAGGCTAGAGTTACCACATCTCTAAACGGTCATATAACACCATCCGAAAAACCGACCAACTTTGTCGCCTATACAGACTCGACCGGCAGATCACGGATTGGCCACCTAGACTTAGAAGGCCATTCAATCACCCCGCTAAGCATGCCATCTGGGGCCCCTCTGAGGACACTTTATGAAGTGATCGAGTTGGCTGAAGGTCCGGTGGCTGATGAAGCACTAATCCCACTTGAATCCACAACCCTGCTCCCTCCTCTCAGCGGACGAGACATTCTGGCCGTCGGGAAAAACTATGTGGAACACGCCAAAGAATTCCACAAGAGTGGCTACGACTCGAGTGACAAGAATGCTCAACCGTCACATCCCGTCATCTTCACCAAGAGGAGCACAAGCATCGTGTCCACGGGAGCTGACATCGTCCTCGACCCACATTTCACATCTACGCTCGATTACGAAGGTGAGATTGGTGTCATCGTTGGCAAGCCAGGGCGACACATCAACGAGAAAGATGCGATGAATTATGTTTGGGGCTACACCATTATCAACGACGTTACAGCGCGCGAGGTTCAAAGGGATCACAAACAATTCTACCTGGGAAAATCTGGAGACACATACTGCCCCATGGGCCCGATTGCAGTCCCTGCTGCCAGTCTCCCGGACAAACTGCGGGTTGAGACTTTTGTCAACGGTGAGAAGAGACAAGATGCAACCACGGACGAGTTGATCTTCTCGGTTGCTCGGTTGATCTCCACCATTTCGTTGGGTGAAACTATTCAAGCAGGCGATGTCATTGCCACGGGGACTCCAGCAGGAGTAGGATTTGGCCAAACGTCACCCACCTTCCTCCAACCGGGCGATGTGATCGAAGTCAAGGTCACCGGGCTAGGAACATTGCGCAACCAAGTTGTTTTGCAGAAGCCGGAACATTCTCTCTCCGCACGCCCTAGGGTACCTTCAGTGCTGCAGACGTATAACACCAGCCGAACTCCTGGAGCATCGGGCCTCACTAGGATCGACTCGAAGCTGGTGAACGTGGAGATCTCGGGCGAAGGCGTCGCCAGGTTAATCTTTGTTCATGGACTGGGGGGGTCGACCGAGTTCTATGCACCTTTGCGCAAGACCGCACATCTCGACCAGACTCACAAATGCATATGCTACGATATTGAGGGTCACGGTTTGTCTCCTACGGAGTCCAGCTCCACTATATCGATCCAGAGCTATGCGGCAGACCTGGCCGCGTTATTCAAGCACTTCAAAAATCAGCCGTCAGTGCTTGTGGCTCATTCGATGGGATCCTTGATTGCGTTGTCGTTCGCTGCCCAGCATCCCGAGCTGGTGCAGAAACTGATTCTCTTGGGTCCAGCACGGTACCCGGTGTCTGCAGCCGCGGCAGGAGGGCAGAGTAAGAGAGCAGCAGCAGTGCGAGCGGGTGGGATGAGAGCATGTGCAGAAACCGTGGCCATGAATGGAACATCTGAGAAAACAAAAACTACAAATGTGTCGGCTTACAGCGCTGTGAAAGCGATTCTAATGAGCCAGGACCCTGAAGGATACGCGAAAGCGTGCACGGCGTTGGGGAGGGCGTCGAATCTAGACATTGACTTGTCGAAGCTGACCATGCCAGTGCTGATTGTCACGGGAGATGAGGACAAGGTCAGCCCTATCGCTGCCTGCCAGATCCTCTCTGAAAAGCTGCCCAACGCAAGACTGGAAGTGATCAAGGGTATCGGGCACTGGAGTGTAATTGAAGACCCGGTTGCGGTGGGGGATGCTGTTAAGCAATTTCTAAATAAATGAGACGATGGCGTCATGGCCACTACGAAGATGGTGCATGAAAATAGTAGAAGGGTTGGCATTCGGTAATAGTGGACCATTCTCTTATTCCTTTCTTCGACTTTTTGTTGTCCTGTGGAGCAGGACGATTTTGGCTTGCAAGGCATTCGATTGGTCTATCTGCTGCTCTGTTCTTTCCAGTCAGTGACAGAGGATTCGCTTTTATATGTATAATTGGCCTGTCAGTTGAAGTCTTCTTGGCCAATGCGAAACAGTTGTAAAGCACAGCTAGAGTGCTCCCAGTGGTGAACAACGCCAGTGTAACGCCATTGAAACTTGATCGACAGTTGATCCCCCACAGATCGCCACTTTCTATAACTCGTTATTTTCCTGGCCGTCACTCTGGCCAAATCTTTTGAGAATGAGATTCTCACGTCTTGCGGGAACAACTGAACATTAAGTTGCTCAATGGATCTTTCGGGCCGGAATACTACGCTTGGCTGGCAACGTCTAGGCAAGCAAAATATAGACTTGTCCCGTTCAGAGAGACTGCTCTTGTTCCTCATGTCATCGCCCCAAGCCTAGTGTCATTTAGCAAAACAGACAACCATAGTATTAAGCTCTCTACTCACTCATTCAGTCACTCCGTATCTAGAACAAAGGAAGGCGGACGCCTTAAACGCCTCCGTATTCCTCAACATGCCGCCAAAAACTCATTTTGCACTATTTCTCTGGGGCGGCGAAAAAAAGCTCCATCGACGACAGACCTATTGTAGACAGAGTGAGAGTAGATCTATCTGCTCGATTGTGTCTTGTCCCTCTGCCTGTTCAGAGAGACTCTGCCTGTGTATATACACTTTGGCCTGTAATCTGAAGGCCATTCTTGCAATCTCCTATTCTGTTGCGATGCTGTCGCAGGTCGGTGAGAATAACGGTGTTGAGGTAAACGCCATAGTAGGTGTAACAGTTAGCGTCTCAGGTGGTTTGCCACAGTGGCTATCTTGCAACCCTGTCAACAAGACCACTCTCAGGATTCTCCCGACACATGCCCAATTTTCGAAAGAGGATATCATTCCCCATTCCCTGGGGAGAAAAATCGTGTGGATGCGGATCGCAATTCATTCTAAGGAGCTAATGGCCTTAAAATTCCAGCACCAATGGTCAAGCGCGCAGCCCATGGACGCCATTGCCATGATGACTGGATGATTCCAATCTACCCCGATGCCGTATCTTCATGTCCAACCTCTAGCGGCAGAAGTTTGACGAGCAGAATCGCATTTATATTCCCAGGGCTGAGAGATTCCAAATCCTGGGCTACTATTGCCAGACGGAAGTGGGACACGTGTTGAATGTACGAGGAATCGAGGCTATGGCCTCTTTCGACGGGGATAGCAACAAGTTTCACCATCAACTTGCTAACGTCGAACAGCACCAAATACTGGATTGGAGCTGCCGGGGGTTTGGGCCACCCATGGCATTGTGGTTGCTAGGCACATCATCCGAGGCCGTGACTATGGGACGAATTCGTCCCTGATGCAATTATGATATCTGGACATACATCGGCTTCAGCCAGGAGCGGAATTCTATGAGCTAGGCTTAAAGGTGTTCCGAAGCACGCTGGGCACGGAAAACAAGGCTCTTCAGTTTCACAATGTACGGATACCCCGGCCGCAAATACTAATGAGAAGTGCTCGGGTGCTGCGAGACTGGAGGTACGTCCAGCTCGATGACATCAAGCACGCGTACTCTTCGATGGTGATGGTTCGAGCTTTGATGGCTGTGATTACGGGGTGAGATCTCCTCAAGGGCGCGGTCGCCTCCTATTATTACATCAAATTCCGGAAACAATTCAAGAAAACTGAACAGGACGCTTAAGACACCCGTGAGACTGATGTATTCAACTACGCCAGCGTTAGATATCTGATTCTACCACTATTGGCGACGGTAGGCTGAGCTCCCTCTCTTCCTGGCCCTTTCCATTTTCTCGGGTGTTGCAGTGTTGACGAAAAATTCACAGCTAGACAACCGCATTGATAGTCATGGGCCGGTCCAAGCGAAAAGCCTACGAAGAATACACCGTCACGATGCTCAAGACTGGCAATACAAGCGAGCTTGAGGACCTGAATCTCTATATCGTAAGACTAAATGTCTATTCGACCAACCTGGCATGCCTGAGCGTCCAGACCCGCCACATCGCCTGTGGTGGTCATGGGTACAGCGCCCTCTCTGGATTCGGCCGAAAGTATGCCCACACTGTGAATGCCGTGACCTACGAGGGTGACAACTATGTCATCGGCCAGCAAGTGACGAGGGCAATCCTGAAGGACTACCGACGAAATTCGACTTCAGTTCCTCGAGCCTCGCTTACTTGGAATTGCGTCAACCAGGACGCGAAGCTAGAATCCTAACATCTACTCGCCCGCCGAATGGTTGTCGACTGACGTACAGAGTCGGGCACCGGAGTCTCATTTGGCCAAGCTCGTCAAGAAGCATATCGAAGACAATGACCGTGGAAGAGACACAAGCTAATTCAGCCACACTCTCAACATGGCCCATTCCGACTATATCTACTGGAAAAGCTGTGGAATTTTGTGCGTACGATCAAAAAAAACCAAGCGAGATTTGCATCCCACATCAGGTCTTTGACCCAAGTGGTAAGTCTGACCACTCATTGGCAGGCGTCCTCAGGACCTTAGGAGGGCAGATACCAATGTCTAAATGCTAATCTCTGTCCTGTTCAACCCGCATCACTCCAGTCTCTCGTAGTCCTTGCATCTGTCGCCTCCTCAGCGCGGTCATCGAAATTGCTTTTTGACAGCCGTCGAAGACCTGGCATCGAACCAGGTCGACGCCATCGTTTCCGCATATGGCTTGACCGAGTATGAGCTGGATAGCGCACTGGCTCGAACCAATCAGACCCCCTACGAGACATTATTCCATGGTGCTCAAACCAGCGAGATGTCTGGAAAGAAGATGCCTCACATGTGACCGCTGATCGTAGAGACGACGAATCTGTGGACACAGACCGGCAATACCACAAAAGCAAGGGACATGGCCACAGCAGGGACCGGCGAGGATGAAATCAAAGCCAAACTATGACCAGAAGATTACTAAGTTCTCAGCAGTTTGTCATAGGCGTTGCGGTATAGAATATCACACTGTGATCAGTAACTCCTTTATTAGATACGGAAGTAGGTAGTAGTGTATGTCGCTTGGTGACTGATTGCCCATAAAACCTAGACTTTTCAAAGAATAAATTATTGATTCAAGCTACAAAGGAGATTCGGTTTTTCTCTTAAAAGTGTTGAGTCGAGATGGTAAGTTGAGCATCACTAGCTGTCCCAATGGCTAGCTTGATGGTCTAGGACGCAATGTATTTTAAGGATTGAGAGAAGTGGGCTGCTGTGGCTGCTGCTTCTGCTCTGCTGCTGGTATAAATTCATATGCATACAGCAGCGCCGCAAAAACAACGGCAAGCGGAACAGGAGTAGTGTATAGCAAGTCGTCAGTCCTCATTGAATATTGAAAAATGGAGGTCTGGGCAACCTAAGTCCTTTGTTCGTTGCCGTTGCTGCTGGGATCTGTTCTGGGTTCTCCAGTCTCGTACTCTTTCGGTCCAGCAAAGTGAACCTAAGTATTTACTCTGCTGCTGGGATACTTGTAATTATTCCAGACCCGTCTTGATCTCTGCGGCCGAGCTCTTTTACCAAACGTTGAGTCGCGAATCTGGGAAGTAAAGGAGAGTAATAGTCGATTTGAGGAGGCTGGAGGATTAAGACAGACAGCAAAGGTCATGCATAGGTGAGGCTCATTGGATGAACTGGGAAGCCAGGCCCCCTAACTCGACCTTAAATTCTGTCTGCTTATTTGAATGTTTCGGTACCACTATAAAGACTCATTCATGCTCTTATGCTCCGTACCGACCTTGCCTGAACGAGTAATGGGCAAGTCTGCGGATAATTGCTAGATCGGTTCTTCCACCAGCCCCAGTATGATTCTCTATCGAGTTTCGGAACTGCTACTTACTGACTCCGGCACAAGCCTACCGTCTGGTCGCGTGTGAACGGGCAGGAAAGGTACAGTGGGTAGGTTGCCTCGAACGAAGAACGAAGATCCAAAATCCAAGATCCGAGACCGAGTTTGGATATCATCCGATCAGCCACCTATTCCTCCCTTCCTCCCTTTTAGAACAAGATGACCTTCATATTCTCCGTGCTGTATTTCCTGATCTGTGGACCCCAGATGTAGAGGGGGATAGCGAGGAGCAAGGAAAACCACCAAATGCCCGCCATCGCACCGAAGACCTATTGAGTCACATACGTGTCAGCTAGCTAGTCATAGATAACTCACAAAAGAAGCATGTGACTGACTGCACACATCAGAGAGGAAAAAAGAGGTTGTGGTGTAGGTATATATAGAGGGCGGTCATTCGGGCAGTCATTCGACTTACACTCGAGTAACCCGCTTCAGCCGTCCAGGGGATGAAGCCATAGCTGAACCCAAAAGCGGCGACGGCCTTCACGCCATTGATGACGAGCAAGGCTTCCGAAGCTACTTCGAAGTACGAGTCAACCGAATACGTCATGGCGATGACTGCGAGGTTTGGCATCACGCTCATCATGCCGTATCCGACATACAAGACAGCCCAGTGCCATTTTCTCTCGGCTCCGATGCCGAACATTAAGAGGCCAACGGGGCAGACGACAGCACCGAAGCAGAGAAGGACGAGACGGGCTTCAGGAGAGAATTGACCCCCATTGCGACGGGCGACGTAGCGGACGTAGACATCGCTGAGATGGCCACCGAAGAAGGCCCCAACAAGGTTACCAACTAGAGAAGACGGAATGGGTCAACTCAGGCCCATCTTATCTTCCTTAATGCCATATTCGATTTTTCCTTTATTTTAAAGGGAAGGAGATTGACGGAAGGTGTGTGCTTACTCAGTCCAGCGAGTTGAACGAGACCGTTGACGCCCGGTCCGAAATTATACGGGGCAACTTGGAAGATGAAGGAGCTGAGCGAGGCAGCACCGATCAACCACGCCAAGGCGCAAGAGACTGTTTTGAAAAGTTCTGCGTTAGTGTAAAATGAAAAGAAAGAGAGAGAGGGGGAGAGAGAGAGACAACAAAGGGAAAATGGAATGCCCAGGGTTAGGAATGAGTGAACCCGTTCTCACATGACAACGTCCCCCACGCCACAGACGGATAAGCCAAAAGAGGAAATGGTCTAATCAGGTGGTTCACGAACGAGTGGTTCGCTCGGCCAGACCAAAGACTCAACTCTTGCCAATAGGTCTTCTTGGTACCGGTGAGGAAAGGGGCGATTGCTGAGTCGTCCGTGATGGTGTTGATGTGTTCGACGGTGGTTTCACTCTTTCCAGTCACGTCGTTGTCCTCTGCTGTATGGGTATGTGTCGGTGCCGTTGCTCGGGTGGCTACGGAATCGAGCGAGCGATTGTACCTTGTCTCGGGGAAGCAGAAGAAGATGGTGATCATGTTGATGCCCGCAACGATGGCGATGACGCCCGAAGTCCATCGCCAGCCAACGCCTATAGCCATACAAGAGACTGGATTAGTTCACGATGCTCGAAAATGACTGAATCATTTCTACTTGGACTTCAGGTTTGCAGTAAAGTCAGAGAACTTCATACCTTGGACGATGAAACCTGATATCACGGTTCCGAGAGAGTTGCCGCCGTAAATCCCTAGCACGAAGAAAGCGACTTTCTCGGCTCTCTCATGCAAAAAGAATATGTCCTGACAGTTTTCCATTTCGTTAGTTTTTTTTTGGATGCTTGCTCAACAAGTGGATTGCTGACGAGCAGACTTACATTGACAATCACCGGCCCAAGAGCTTCATGGCAAGACGAGAAAAATGAACCAATGGTTCTCGAGGACAGCAGACTGGAATACGATGTGGCGACCGAGGCCCAGACGCAACACGCAAAAGTCATGACGGAACAGATCACAAACACAGGCCGTCTACCCAGATATTCGGCAGTGGGCACCCAGAAGAAGTTCTACATGCCTTTCTGTTAGTGTATTATCCGATTCTTGACAAGGGACTCGTCGACTTACACAGAGTCCAGCAGCCAGCAGTGGCCATGTCAAGAGCCCCGTCGACTGAGACTCACTGATGTTGAACTCCTGAGTCAGGATGTAAAATGCTGGAACCAACCCGCCCAGCCAGAAGTTGCACACGAAGGTCAAGCAGATGGTGTTGGCGAGGATGGTCCATTTCTTCCAGGTATGGAAGCGGAGGGGGTCATTGACATCGCTAGAAGGAGCGGGCACAAGGACAATGTCGGTCCCGCGAAGGTGAGGATTGTCCTCGCTCTGGCTATTCAGGTTGTCAACGAGAGTCACTGAGCGCTCGTCGTGGCCGAGCTCACGAAGGGTTCGGAACTTCATGTTGAAGTCGAAGAATGGATAGCAAAAGGAAAATACTGCCGCAAGAGCAGAAGTATGGTAGTCTGGGTGGTAAAGGAAGAACGAAGATTGCCACGTTGCTGATTCAGGCTCCAGAGACGCTCGTTAGGAGGAGTCATTATTATCTATATGTGTCTATATCCCGTCCTCCTAGTCGTTGCTCCATTTCCCCTAAGACGTACTCTGGGCAAGTGGAATCGCTCTCCGCGTTTGTCCCCGCGCTTGCTGGCTCCAGCCTGCCAATCCTCTTCGGCTGAAAGTTTCCCAATGATGTGGTTTAGGCGTTGGTATGAGCGCAGGCGGAAGCGCCATTGGAGGACACGAACTCTCGTGGCGCCGATGTTTCGGTATTCACCAAATGGGGAACCGCCGAAGAGTCCGCATGGTGGCCCGGGGAACTTACCAGGGGAGCAGTCTAGCCCCCCACTGTCATTATCTGTATTTCAAATGACTTCAATGTGAAAGAAAATTCTACCAGCTGGAAGGGGCGAGATCAAGAGATCATTCCTTGAGATGAGCTTGATCGGGAGCACCGCAAGTGGGCACTGACTGGTGTCCCTGTATTGGCGATGACAATTGCAAATCAGCTGGCAGAAGATTGAAATATCGTAGTCAATCCAAGAGCTATTGTTCTGCCCTATTTGGAATGACTTTGTGTACGTCTCTTGACATTTGATCTGGTGGTGGCTGGTTTGACATCTGGACCCTGCTGACCCTGTCTTTGGCGAGCGCCTCATAGCATGGTCGACCGATTTCCGAGAGGATATTGAGCATGCCCTTGGGCAGGTCGATCTCCTGGCAGAGATGGCCTATGACAAGGACTGAAAGGGGATGCTTTTGCTCGACTTGAGGATGAGGGTGTGGTCAGACACGAGGACGGGTTCAATTTTGTTAATCATGTAAGGAGAGTGATGTTCCCCTCTTTCACAGTTAGTATTATGCGGGATGCCCAGTAGGGAAAGATTTCAACTGACCATGGGATAACTGCAGCACAAACGCCGAAGGTAGTCGCCAGACCATGTTCATGAATCCAGGACTGTGTTCAGGAAGCTGGCATCCAAACATCCACGGATTTTCCGGCAAAATAGCAGAGGAGGTTGGCAGCAAAATGGGTTCCAATGACTATGGTTGTGGTGAAGCTGAGAGCTCTTTGGTCTTCGCTGATCAAAGGAACAGAGACAACAGAACATACAATTGCCTATGGGCTTTCCCATGCAAATGGCGTCCAGGTAGTCGAGTTCGTCGGCATGCTTGTTCAAGGCATCGGCAAGTCTGAAAAGATAACCCACGGGTGCCAGGGCTCCTGACTCCGTCCAGGCTGTGACCGCAACTTTGGCGACCTTGACAGCGATGTCAACATCGTCAACATCTGCTATGTAGATGATCGCTGCCAATTTCTCAGTGGCCGGATTGATGATGTCGAACTTCTTGCTGTTCATACTCTCCGTTGATGAAGAGACGATCCTCCGGTGTGATTGCGGCCCGGGTGGCCGTTGTTTCTGTTGCCTTCGCTGTTCAGGACAGCTCATAGCTTACTTTCGCCCATCAACTTGCAGTACTTGCCCACGTCGGCGAAGGTTCCTTTAGCCGATATGCGATGCACCAGTGTCCTCGAACCGCGAAGTCGGATGCTTCTTCAACATCATTGGGAGTTCCCGTGACATTGATTTCGACGCTGTAAAACCGTTAGATGGACCTCGGTGTCGTTAGGAAATGGACTCCTTGGGGCTGACTCTCTTCAGCCTCTTAGCCGTGAAAATGATGGGAGGCGCACCGGGCACCGCGGTGGTATCCTTGAGCAGCTCAACGATAATCACCGCTCCACCAACATACACATATTCGGGCGCCGATGCATAGGTCTGTTTTGTGGCCGCAAAGCAAAGCACACTGTGCGCCCCGTGTGTGGTCAGCTCCATGGCTTGGGCCAGAATGTCCTTTCCTTTGGAGAAATCGAAGAAGGCATCAGCCCCGAGAGATTTGACGAGGCCCGCCTTGTTATCGCCTCCGTCGAAGCCAGTCATGCGCATGCCCGTTGTTTTGGGCACATACTGAACGACAATGTGGCCCAAACCGCCATCGGCACCTATCTCGAAGTTAAAAGGCATTTGAGATTGCTTGCAGCACAGTACTCACCCAGGAAAACAATCCACATGTTATGGTTTTGAACCACTCCAACATTCAATACTCATCACCCACGCTCTCTTCTATTTATTTCCAAGACGGACTCTGGATGACATCCGGGCAAGAAGATGTCCACGCTGAGGTTGGGAAGGATCGATCCTTCTCTCTCATGATCCCGAATGCCGAACCCGGTAGTTTGGCCAGTAGGTTGAAAACGTGGGAGTCCAAGCTCAACGGGGTATCGAATCCAGTCCAGTGACTTCGCAGAAACTCACTAGTTCAGAAGGTAGTCAAATTATAAGATTCGATTTTCGATGTCAAGGGATGCCGCTTTGCGTGTCTGCCGACCTTCGCAATATTTAAACCCTGTACACCGTGACATGTTATTAAAAGGATATGGTCATTCCAATAATGGGTGAGCGAGACCGGGAGGTTACGTGCCCAGCGATACCGGACCCCCTTTTCCACGACGTTGCTCGTTGCAAGGCCAGCGCAAGGCTAGCTATTAAAGGGGCCAAGTCTAGCTACTGTGGTCACGGTAGTGGCTGAGGCGAAACCTTGAGGTGTTCAGCTAAGGCGTTCATGAAGGATCACGGAGTCATAGATAGAGCGTCTGAAGTGGTGTTCGCCTTGCAAGACAGATTCAGGAACCTGTTTCCTGATACAGGCTAAATGTTCATATACATAGGAAAGGAGCCGATGAAAGGATAGACAGATAGCAAGCAACCTCATGCTCTTGTTCCATCACGTGAGCACACGCCTCCGTTTCCAATCCATCTTCTTTCTCTAGACTCAGCATCCGAGCCAGTGCTACAGCAGTGCCACAAGATTCCCTTCAGGTCTATTTTCCAGGGCTGGAGAACGCGTCAATGCAAGATCCAGACCTTTTTCCATTTCTTCAGTCGACGGGAATCCGTAGTAAGAAATATACTCTCGATCCGAACTCTTGTTGTTGAGCCACAAGTCGTAGTCTCGCCTCAACTCCGCAACCACCTCGTCCTTCCACAGTTTCATCGGCTCTTTGCCCTGGCCGACTTCTCGAATGATTCTGTTGCCAGCCATGAGGGCGAGCCAGAACTCTCCCGCTCCAATCTTGGGCACAATACTACCCGTCACCTTCCCCTCCAGAATCTTATTACATAGATCAAACTCCTGCACAAGTGGTCGACCGAGCCCAACGCCATCCGCCACGTCCAGGGCTCTGACCATGCCGCCGACGGTTCGCAGTCCACCTGTGATATAGACTTTCGTTTTGGACAGGCCAGTGATGATTTTCTCTGCAAATTCTTGGAAATATGCTTCTCGTCTCTTCGTGGATTCCCGGATCTCCTCGCCTTTGTGTTCTGTGATTGTGTTCTCGGCCGTACCGCCACTCAGTTCCACAAAGTCGAATTCGGCATCTTCGAGCGCGGCGCACAATTTGCGGGCATCATCAATGGGGAAGTCCCTGGCCTGAAACTCGGTGCTGTTGATCTTTATGCCTACAATGAAAGATAGAGATACCCTTTTGCGGATCGCTTCGCGGACCTCGAGAATGACGCGCACCCGATTCTCAATGCTTCCACCATACCTATCGGTACGTTCGTTCGTGGCCAAGCTGATGAACCCGGACAAGAAGAAGCCGTGCGCTCCATGAATTTCTATGCCGTCGTAGCCGGCTTTCTCAAGATACTCGGCAGCATGGGCGAAAGAATCGACTATTGCGTCGATCTCTGATTGAGAAGCCTCGTGAGGCGGGTTGAAGTGCAAGGGTTTCTTCTCACCGGTCATATCGACTGGAATTGCAGACGCAGCGACGGGGAACTGCTGGAAGTAATTGTTGCACAGGCGACCCGGGTGCGATACTTGAGGTACCATGAGGGATCCATGGGCTTTTCCAGCCGCTGCGAGCTCCTTGAATGCTTCGAATCGTTTTCCATGAAAGGGCGCGTCTGGCGGGATGATCGGGTCGCCTACGGATTCTAGATGATCCAGGAAAATCACTGCTCTTGTTCATTAGCAAATTAATTGCAAGCTGCACACCAAGCTGCCATGCGCCAGGTGCGACGACGAGGTCAACGCACTAAAATTTCCCGTGAGCATCAATCCAATCCCTCCTCGCGCCCATCGTTCATACACCCTGATGAGGTTCTTGGTGGGAATGCCTCTTTTCTCTCGGTCTTCTTTATGCCAACTCGCCAGCTGCTCTGTCATAGCAGCCTTCATGAAACGATTGGGTGCCGTCCGCCCAGAGAATACGAACTGGAGGCTCTGAGCCAGCGGGCTGGGATCTACAATGGCGGACACATATCGGGGTGGAGTCTCAGCGAGACGCTCCATGTTCTTGCTGAGTTGGGCGATGTCTGGACTTTGGCTGAAGGGCTATCGTCCATGGTCGACTCTGACCTGTAATAAGTAGTTATTGTCGTTCGATAGGGTGGAACCGGGCTGTTGCAAAACAGGTGTTCATCCTAGAGTCCTCTTGCACTCATACCACTCACACCACCCTTCTCGTACCGCGGTAAGGGCAAGGTGTCAAGCCTTCTGGGACCTTCCTGCGAAATTCAACTGACAGAGCGACCGGTTCCCGGTGCTATCGTCCTCGGAAGCCAGTAGCTAATCGGCGATGCTCGGTTAATGCACGAACGTCGGCGCTTCGGTCCATTCGGCTCCACCCCTCAAAGTGAGCAAAGACCGTTGGACAAAACAGAAAAAGGTCTGAACTGAAAGGAATAATCTTCTCCTATAGTCAGCCCATCAGTACCTCATCATGGGTTTTTACACACTAGAAGTCGAACATATCATTCCCGCCACGCCGGAGCGAGTATTCCAAGTCTGGCTCGATGGCAACGACCGTCGTGGGCCTTGGGTGGGAACCGGCGACCGTACAATTGAACCCCAGGTTGGCGGCAAGTTCGAGTGGTACGATCAAGACTTTTACGACATGGGCGGTGGAGGCGGATGCTGGGGCCACTGGGGCAAATTCACCAAGATCGATAAATCCGAACGCCCTTATGTGATTGAATATACATGGATGTCACCAGAATGGACGGATGAGCAAACTACGGTTGTCCATGTTGAACTCGACAAATCGCCATACGAGGAGAACCATACCAAGGTCAAGCTTTCTCAATCAAATCTGCCAGATAACTATCACGGATGGGAGCACAAGAATGCGTGGATCCGGATCCTGGGAGAGATGAGTGCTCGGTTCCTGGGAAATGCCGGAGAAAATGACCGAACAGCAACTGGTGAAAAATGGTGGGGGAACAAGAAATAGTTGAAAATAACAGGAACTTTACCATTGTGGATAGTAAAGAAAATCAGAGAGAAGTGCTGGAAGCTGCGAATAGACCGTTGTCTACAAAGCATTCACATATCCTCATAGACAAACAGTTCACTTGTTAAACAGCTTTCGAATAAACTATGTACTAAAATTTGCCCTCTATCCCCCAAGGCATGGCTGGTACTACTTGATGGGGTTCTCTTCTCTAGATCGTTGTCACTCTCATTGCACATGCTATCGTTCAGACTAAAGCTCACGGCTTGAGCGGTTCAAAGACCAAATCGCAGAAATTGCCTTTTGGCATAAGGACGAAATGATCCACCATGTCCATGGTGTCCTCTTCCATCCTTTCACCCACGCTGATCGTCCATCCAAGGACCAACGATGCAAGGACCATCTTGAGCTCCATTGTAGCGAGATGCAGTCCTGGGCACATGCGTGAGCCTTTGGACCACTGCAGGCTTGCATCTCTCATCTGTTGCGTCCCACCGTCCGCCCACCTTCCAGGTTTAAACGTATCCGCATCCGGGAAGATGTTTTCGTTGTGGTGTACGGTGTAAGCTTGCATGGACACCGTGGTCTAAATCTCCATCAGTCTAAATTCCATCAGACAGCCAAGAGATATCAGAGAGCAGAAGTTGGGGGGAACTTACTTCTCCAGGAATGAAATATCCGTCGATCATATCACCTCCGGCAGGAACCTGACGAGGTAGGCTTGCAACTGCAGGTCCATGTAGTCGCAGCCCTTCGAGCACAATGCCATCCAGTAGAGGAAGTGACTCGATTTCCGAGTACCGAGGGACACCCGAAGGACCCGGGTTCATCTTTACAGTCTTGAGTTCTTCTCGCAACTGGGATTGTATGCCAGAGTTTACAGCAAGTTCCCATGCAGTGTATGTCAGCACGGTGGCAGTGGTATCTGTACCGGCAACGAGGACGCTGCCAACCTCGCAACAAATCTGCTCATCGGACAGTGGAGGGAGATCTTTGTCTCCGTGGATGATTTTCTTCAAAGGATCATCCCGACCCGAATCTCGCCCGTACCGTTCAATGTATTCCTTAAAAGCCGCACGGCCATAATTGTAGACCCTGCGTTGTGCTCCCTGAAAGTGTTGCCACGAAGACAGAGGAATCCACCATGTCAACGGCAGAAGCCAAGGCAGTTGCCATTTTAGACCAGCAAGTTGGAAATAAGCATCGATGTTGTTCATGTATTCGTGAGGCTTGTCCTGGTCGAGGGCTCCAATTGCTTCCCCCAAGAACAGAGAAGAGACGACATCCAAGGTGAGCGAACGGAACCAAGCGTAAACATTCAACGCGGCGCCATTCTGACGCGTTACTCGGCCAATGAACTTTCTCACTTGCTCCGCTACCAGAGGCTCCGCTGCACTGATCGTGGATTGGGTGAAAGCATGGGCCATCAACTTCCTGCGATCTCGATGGATCATCTTGTCTCTCAAGGTGAACAAGACGGGTCTGCCCGGTTCCTCGAATCCGCTATAGAAGGCAGTTTTCATGTAGGACGAGTTGAATCCGTAAATCTTCTTGATGACTGCTGGGTTGGAGAAAAGTACTTCATTGGGCGCAATTCGGACGACAGGTCCATATTTCTTGTGCATTTCATGAAGGGTGGCTGTCCGTACGCCAGAGTGATCCTTGTATTCAAGCCATTTGCTGGTAAGCTTGGCCAGAAATGGTCCAGGAACCTTTCGAAGAGGGTGCATAAAGCAATTGTAGAAACACTAATAAGGAAAAATGTCCGCTGCTCAGACATGGCCCCTATTCGAGATGGAGAGTTGGATTCAATTCGACATACCTTTCCAATCAACCACAGCCCAACAAGCAGCCCGGCCGCCAGGAGTCCGCGAGACACGGTGACTTGTAACGCTGCGAGCTTCGGAAGAGTCTCTGAGGCAAATTTTGCAGCCATTGCGATCAGTCGTTGCAGAAGATGAGGCTGAGACGGGCAAGCCAATTTAGGTGAACCACGACGTATTTGTGTGACACTGGATTCGACAACATCAAAAACCGGGGATAAGTAAGTAGCCGTACATGTTGAGGGTAGCCGCTGCTTGCTTTGGTCTTCAGAAAATAGTTGCCAGTAGACTCACAAACATTTACCGGAATGTGAATTTGATCGGCCACCTCGGAGGTTCGCGAAAAGCTTGGAAACTACCGAAGTTCAGCGGCGGAGTTGTGTGGAGTGGCGGGTCGGTACTAGCAAGATTGTGATCATTTGCCATGGCCCCAACAACGTTAACCCTATACGTTCGGCCCTGAAGAGGACGTGCGCAGGATGTTGATGAAATCATTTGTTGATTCCTTTCTGATATGAACTTAGTAGTAGGTAGGTCAGCAAATCCAATTCTTGGGTTCGGCGCGTACCGTTTAAGAGAACCATCCATTATTGCTGAACACAATACAGGAATGACCAGAGCTGGTTGATTGTATCTGTCTCTCTGCCTACTCAGAGTGACTCTGGTGTTGAGGTAGGTGGCGCAATTGGTGAGACAGTCAACGCCTCAGGTGGTTTATCATAGTGACGTTCTAGTAACACTGTCAGCAATTATCTTCTCTTCACAAAAAATTCTAGGATCACTAAAGCATCAACATGGTACCGAAAGGCTATCTCGATGTTTAGGGTCATGTTTTCCCAGCGATCACTGACGAAGTAGCATCACAACTGATGGTACAACTACGAGTCGCACATTTCATGGTCATGTCTCCGTCGCAGTTGCATTGGTCAGCGGAGGAGGTCATCAAGCACAATGATCACGTCGGCGTTGCAATGTCGCGGTTGAGTTATACGCCGAACAGACACGAGAGAATACGTGAAGGAAATTACTATGCCCACCAGATCGTCAAGAAATATCCGACTCGCTTTGGCATGTGCTTGCCCTTTCCACTGACAATGCGGAGGCATGTTCGGTGGAAATTCAACATGGCGAAGAATACGACGGTCCCAAACTTGATGGATATGCAGCGACCTCGCAATACAGCAACGTGCTCCTGTCAGCTCCATGACTGAGCTTCGTATTTGAAACGTTAAATTTGAGATGCGCCGTGTTTCATATTCATCCGAATGCATATTTACTAGGAGAATGGGGTAAGTCATCAGTATTGATCGACGTGACTTTTGACACTACTCGAGTCTCCACAAACACGCTGTGCGAGGGTGTCTTCCGCAAATATCCCAACATTAAGTTCGTCTTTGCGCACTGTGGCGGCGCAATCCCTGCATTGTCTGGCAGACTGAGGTTCCAGGGTTAACCCGGACAATCTCACCAAGCAGGAAATTGAGGCTCAGCTCTTAAATCTTTATGCCAACACAGCGGCGAGGAGAGTTGAGCAGGGTTGACAGAAAGGATATTGTAATAATCACTAGCACCGAGCAATACTGTTGCTGCTCAGCTCCATCACAGATTTTGAGGACTTTGTGGATGCCGCCGTCAGATTTGTGATTACGGAGGCAGCGATTCTTCAGGACAAGACAATCTTGACCCTAACAGTCCCACAACATCGGCTGTTTCTCTAATGGAACTGGTTCTGTATCGGGTACGGTCGCCTCGCGGCCCTCCACTCCGCGCTGATACTTGCATCAATTCTGCCGTAGAATTCTTAACAATATTAGCGAGGAAAACCACTGCAACTCTGTAGCCAATCAATTACTCAGTCACGTCAGCATCCGTTTCAATCGGTCGAGATCATCTTTGGCCCAGCCCCACTTTAGCGTTCGCTAGCTCATCACGGTATTTTCCAACTGCGGTCAATTCCGGCCCCCGCAACGGCTCGGCACCTACTGCATTCAGTTTTTCCTTGGTTTGCAGGAATATCAAGCGGGAGTCCGTGGGAGCACGTGAAGGTTGAAGGGCATTCGCTTTTCACATTGGGTGATTGACGCTCGATGGCATCGTTTCTTGCCAGTAGCCAGCATACCACCACTTTCTTGCCCTGTCTGTGTACTACATTTGGGAGTTGCCGAGCTGCTTCAAATGTGGCGAACCATGACTCTGGCATCGACTTGGCGTTGGGCAATGCATTGGTGATACTACGACGTCCGTCTCACTATTACAGCAGCTGTCCAAGACCAAGCCAAGTTCCTTACGAGGGTGGTCGACAGTGTCGGAATCTAGCTACAAGCTGAGGGCACTCTTTTACCCGCCTAGCTGTGAATTACTTCAATTATCATGAGTACGACACAGGGCCAACGAAGTCCATACGCAGTGAAACTCACTGGAAAGCGTGTTTTAGTACTGGGAGGGACCTCCGGTATAGGCCTAGCTGTCGCAGAGGCGGTTCGGGAATTTGGTGCCGCGGTCATTGTATCGAGTTCCAACCAAAGCAAACTCGAAGCAGCGATTCGGAAAATTGAAAACGTCAAGTCTGATGCCAACGCAAACATCAGCAGTACTGCCGCCGGCGTTCGAGGATATCCTTGTGACTTATACGATCTGGACCGCTTAGAAAGCAATCTGAAAGCATTATTCGACAGCGCAACGGAGGGAGGCAAGCAAAAACTCGATCATATTGTATACACGGCAGGGAACAAGGTGGGATCAATCCCGCTTGCGAACACTGATGTGAAGGCTATCACGGAACATGGCGTGTTACGATTCTATGTGCCGATCATAGTTGGGAAGTTGGCAGCAGACTATGTACACAGCAGTCCCCGGTCATCAATAACTTTCACCAGCGGCGTGAACAATATCAAGCCATTGCCGGGACGAGTCCTCATGGCGGGCTGGGGTGCGGGAGTCGAAGGGGTCACGCGTGCCCTGGCCGTCGACCTGAGACCTGTCAGGGTGAATTGTATTTGTCCTGGTCCGACGCGGACGGAGCTCTTCAATGGGTTCCCAGACGAGGTACTTCAGCCTCTTCTGGAGAGGTACAAAAGTTCGACGATGACGAGGACAATTGGCAATCCAGAGGATATCGCCGAGACATATCTGTACTGCATGCGGGACACCTTTGTGGATGGCACGGTCATTCACTCGAGTGGAGGGTATCTATTGGCATAAACATGATTATTGTAGCTTCCATGAGTACTCGAGATAAGCGATACAAGGTACTCGTTTTATGTGTTTTGTATATAAAGGGGTCATGATAGATGCATTATATAACATTGTTTGCCGCGTACTGCCCAAGTTCCATGGGCTAGTATCCGACATAGGATAGTGGTAACTTGTCTATTACTGCTGCTTCCAGTAGGAGCACCGAAGCTAGCCTGACGGGCTCCTTTTTCCAATGGTCTTACTATCTGCGTACGTGCATTGAGGAGTAGAATCAAGGAATTCTAAACTCGGAATTAACTTTAAGTGGGCCCCGTTGCAGCCAAAGGTATATTATTCTGATTACATCGTCGTTTCGATGCTTCTCCTCCCTCTTTGGCAGGTTGCATCCCGTGTACATTTGATAAGAATCTGCGAGAGATATACAACAAATTTACTAGTTCACAATGTCTCAGTATCCAAATTTCCCCGACCGCAACACCTTTCTCAACCTCAAAGGCAAAGTCGTCGTGGTGACTGGTGGCGCAAGTGGCATTGGGGCGGCTCTTGTCACGATCCTCCATCATCATGGCGCATACACCGTGTTCGGCGACATCAACCGTGCTGCTGGCGAGGTGCTCGTAAAGACCCTCCTTCCCAATAGCCAGAGCCAGAGCACAGACACTAGCAGCGCCAACGGCAGCGACGGCGTACTCACATTTCTGCCTTGTGACGTCTGCAACTATAGCGACATCTACGCGCTCTTCCGCACCGCACACGACGAGCATGGTCGCGTGGACCATGCGGTCTTCTGCGCCGGCATCGTCGACAGCCCAACATCATCGTACTTCGATGCCGCTTTAACAATCGACAGTGTCGGCAAGGAACACGGCGACACGCGCACACTCGATGTCAACTTCTTCGCCACCTGCGCTTTTGCTCGGATAGCATTACCGTTCTTGCGACGGGGGCCAGAAGGAGAAGCAAGACTGCCTAACCGCGCCACTGCCACTGGTTCCTCCGATCGAAGTCTGACTTTCCTCTCCAGTGTGACGGGTTTCCGCGATGCGCCGGGCATGTTTCTCTACCAGACTTCGAAACAGGCGATCTTGGGCCTGATGCGAGCAATGCGCACGGTCATCTTCGGCCGCGACGGCATCCGCATCAACGCCGTGTGTCCAGGCATGACGGAGTCGCCTATGACAAGTGCAATTGGACTGATTGACTTGTTCAAATATAGGGAGTTCAAATCAAGTGCACAGTTGCCTTCGCATTACCAGTCGTCAGAGGCTGTTGCGGAACATATCGCCTCTGTAATGCTGGCGGAGGGCCTGAATGGGAAGAGCATCTACGTTGAAGAAGGGAAGGGGTGGGATTTTGAAGATGGGTTGGCAAGGGAGATGCCGCGGTGGTTGGGCGAGGAGCCGACTCGATGGTCGGATGAGAACTTGAGATTCCTTGGGAGTTTCGGGGGGCTTTGATGACACGCCAAACTCCACCGCATAAAACGAAGGGCAATTCTAGTACACTACCAAAATTAAAAAAATTCACTTTCGTGAAGTAATTGTAATTTTCGATTATCCGATTGCGAGTTACAGAAAGACAGACATACGAACATACTCGATCTAGCAAGTAGTGGGAGCACTGGGCCTTCTTCCTCCAACAATCCTCATTTCACGCATAGGAAAGGGGGTCATCACCGAGGTACTTGGTATTTGCTGTCTATCAAACCTTCGACTACTTAGAGAGAGTCCCCACAGAACCTCCTTGCTTAAAGGCGGGGGAATCATCGAAGTGGTGGAGTGGGTTCGATACTAAGCCTCATACCACCGAAGGTCTAGACTTCTTCACACTGTTATCCCTTAGCAATTAAACCTGGTTCTTCATTCGTTGGACTATTAACCGTGGAAGATCTGTACTTTTCGATCCTACTGTGAGCTCTGTTGACGATCGGATATTTTAACTTTGGGCGAGTAGCAAGCATTGCATACAACAGGAACAGGCATGGCTGACGCTGTTGACGTGGCTAACGCGGGTGATGGCGATGATGTAAATAGCTAGCAGAGACTCTGGTCCACAAGGGTCTCGATGTTAGTAAGGCAGACATCTGAATGATACATCATCAGCAGCAAGTCGGCTGTGAACACTTGTTGTTCATAGCTATATCAGCTTGCGTCAAATGCAAGCCGGTCCCAGAATAACCAGTCTCCAATTGCACCGTTCAATTGTCCAGTCTCCCCCTGAAACATTTGATCAAACACCATAGCCTCATCTGAATCTGGTGGCTGCTCCAGGAAGGGCTTTGGGCCTGTGGGTTCTTCCTGGTTGACATAGTGCAGTGGCGTCATAGGCACCACCTCATTCAATTCTCTAGTCATGTTGATCATCGGTCGGCTTCTTTCGTTGCCATTCGCAAGATACCACTCTCTCTGATTTTGGCCAGTGTAGCGATCAGGCTTTCGCACCAGGGCAGTATACATCCGACACAGTGACATGTCACAGTCTTCAAAAAAGACGGCCTGGTACGGTGTAAGAGTGCTTTCAGGTGTTCCCGTCACCCTCTTCTGGGTAGCCACGGTGAGCTTGTACATCCGGTCGAAACTACCAATGCTCCCCAATGCAGAAGGCCAGTTTTTCTTCATCTCCTCTTGAGCCTGTGCCAACGTTTTGAGATCTTCCTGAGCAAGTGCCCATGATTCGGGATATTTATAGCACGAGAGTAGTGCAATAGAAGCAGCAAGAAGGTGGAAGGTGAAGCACGGTCCGAGGAATCGCACCTCGTCGCGGGCAAGAAAATCTTCAAACACTCCTGCTATTGTGGATGCTGCGATTACTGCAGCGGTGGGGAATGGGCCTTCAAGAGTCCTCGAGCGATACAGGAGAATGATTGTGGCAAGGTAGAGGACGTTCAATTGGCGGCATTCGAGGCTATAAGGTTTAAAAAACTGAGATGTGTAGATCTGGCGATTAGCGTTGTAAGAGGACAGTCGGAGCTGTTCAGGGAGGTTCTTGGTCCATCGGTACAAGGAATCTTCAATCCCAGTGATGTAGTCTTTACTAGACGATTTTCGAATCTCGTGCTGGGCGAATCGTCCCATGATTAGTGATAGGTCAACATAGGCGATGAAGAATAATCCTGTGAAAGTGGCGTTCGGAAAGTCCTCCAGGGTTGGCCGCGGAATGTCACATTCTTCAAGACTGATAGCTTGTGGGCGTCCATGGGCGACACTAATGAGGCGATCACGAGCCTGATAAACGTCAGACTCCATTGGTCCATGGAGACGAAAAGGAAGAAATACTCACAACTATGGACCACCATAATCGACGGCGCAGAGATTCATTGGGCACAGACTTTTTGTTGCTGTGAAGGCCCATCTGCTGGGCCAGGCTTACAGTGATCCGACACCAAAAACTGCTTGTATTCGTCGACACACGTTCCGGCCCGTGTGGATTCCACCAATGCATGAGTGATGAAGCAATCAAGAGATTCATTGGGTCTTTCTCATAGTCAAGCCAAAAGAGCGTCTTTGCTCGTGTGTAATAGTCCTGTGGCGAGGCAAAGACGTGAGGTTGAGATGGTGATAGCATGCGGCTTCCTGCCAGGAAGATAGATTGAAGTAAAAGAGGCGATACCTTCTCGGGATCCATGCCCATGACTTGCGATCGATCAACGATTGGATCCCAGGAATAACAATGTGTCCAAAAATTCTCAAACAAAGACTCTCGGATAGCGCGAGGCGGGATTTCGAAAGCATTCTGGAGTTTGGCAATCTGTTGGGTGATCTCCGAGGGAAGGGGAACGACGTAGCTGATTTCAGAGCCATCCTCTCCGCGAAACTTGTCCGGTGCAATGTACGCTGAACGTTCCATATAACCACTGTCGTAGATGCTAGAGACACTGGAGGCGGAAACAGCTGATGGAGAGGGACCTAATGGTTGATCCGTATATTCCTCCATGGCGCTTTGCGTTTCTTGCCGAAACGCTTGAAGCGCTTCCCCCTGTAATGGCTGGTCTGCTCCGGTAGTATGTGCACGAGATGCTTGACACGTGGCAGCCTCACTGTTTCCGGCAACCTGGTTCGCGGCCTCCGCTGGTTTAGTGACATTATTCTGCGCCGAGCCCTGCCAAGATGATGCCTTTGTTTTGTGAAGGTGTGTCCTCCGCTGCCGGACCCTTTGCTCACACACTTTGTCATCTCGCTGACAGTTCGAGCACTGCGGCTTGGTCGGACTAACGTCACATCTGACCTTACGCGCATGGCATAACTCACAGGCCCGAGTTGCACGAGGAGCTTTCTCAAATCGCGATGTGTGACGCTCGACATGGAAGCTCATATTGAAATACATAGGCCCTCGACTTGCAGGATTGTATGCTAAGAAGGGCGTTAAGAGGGTGGAAGGAGGGGACTGATGTCTGGAGTTTGGGGCGGGGCAGCTTGGGGACTTACCCTCTCCCCGGATTATCCAGTCACGTGATGACCACTCCGCCACGAATAGATTGGTCCATGCCTTTTCTTGTAGTCTGGTGTACGTACTCGATGCCCAAGCGGAGTGGACCGTTTCGACGATGATGGGCTGCGGGACAGGGAAGAAGACAAAGTAAGAAAGACGACACGGTTCGGTGATTTCCCAACGTAGCCAGAGAAATGTCATGTGTCTAAGTGGGTCTTTTTTGCAACCAGTAAAACTAAAAAGCATTTAGCGTTTCCATGTGATCCTATAACGTAACGTATTCTACTTGTTAGGTGCTCGGCCAATTTCGTGCTAATTGCTATGCCGCTTTTCTGTAACAAGTCCTTGTTATATCCCTTGACGCTTTAGTAAATTAATTCAACGCCTGTCTCGGAGGGACGTCACGATACCCTGTCAGCTGAGGCAATATTCATGCTTTTATGGCCCATGGATCAGGAAATCGTCCTCATGACCCAAGTCGCCCTGGGATCAGCCTCTCGAGCCTCGTCCTTCGCTTTCACCGATATCCAATGAGCGGCTCAATTAGCACCTTTTTTCCCTTGGTATGGAAACCTGAGTAAACCTGCGGGGAGCTCACGTGCGACTCACCCAGGCCGTTCTGCTTTACAACCACACACGCACCCTCTCACCTTCGTATTCACCTTGTCCACCCTCGCGTTCAACCTTCATCTGAACCTGCTCTACCGGGTGAGCCAGCGACGATCCAAAATTAGCGGCGTACCTACCGATTCCATCTTCAGCCCCTTTTCGACTCTGGACCACTTTACTACCCCTTCCTTTGACTGACCCCCAAAGAACTTCCTACTCCCTACTTCAAACAAAGTATAAAAGCCTCCTTCCTCCTCCCTCGGGCTACGAACTCTTCCCTCTAGAATACGAGCCTTCTTGTAACAATCGATGCGAATCCTGCGTATAGCCTGTCACGGGCGGAATAAAGAGAGGGATTACGGGACTTGTGAGCACGCAAGGTAGGGTATGGAATGGAAATGTACCGAAGCCTCTCCTATCTCAAGGTTTTGTGGGTTCCTCCTATATCCGTCGACCACCACTATTCCTGCGGCTGGCACTGCGATGGCTGGGATGGCTGGTACTGCGAAAGTATCATGGATACAGTGAGGTGGCTTGCTGTTACAATGGTGTTTCCAGAGACCTCCTCGATTGATCCTCCCTGCAGAGACGTTGGCATACAGCCAAAACCCGAATACCCCACTTCAGTATGCTGTTGTTCATCGAAGAACTTAACTGGCTTGCTCTGCCTAGTGGGCCGCCCCATGTTTGCATAAGTTGTGGTGTTGGAAGCACCCCGGGCAAAGTAAACAAAGCGCGCGTGAATTGGCGTTCGTAGTGCCAAGAGCAGCGCTACCACATCTAGTACAGTGCTTTCCAGAAGACTTACCAGGATTCTAGATACTAGTTTATAGAGAATTATCTATAGATTATTATACTCTGTTGACGGATCGTATAGATTGTCGTGGAAAGGTTGGGTCCTATGGTCACTTTTAGAAATTAACGTACTCTGCTTTTCTTGAGCTTAAAGGTAGTCTCTCTGGATGGTGTTAGTGGTGATATGCTCCAAGGTTTGCACTACTGTATACTCGCTCGAGTTCTATGTTCGACCTTGTTCTCTTGCACCCTGGCAAAGTTCTAGGACAGTTGAAGTACGCTCTAGTTGAAGACTTTGAGCGGACCTTATCGATGACGGGTAAAATGTCACGTTTGAGCTTGTTAGAAGGAGAATATTCCTCGTCTCTAACGTAAGGAGTAACTGGCCTTTTTGGCTATATGTTGTAACAGAGCACCTCAGGGTTCGGCGTGCACGTGCAACAACGCACAGAGGCCTGTCCAGCAGATCGGGAAGCGAGAACGCGTTTCTGGTTGATACTGACGAGACAACACCACCACCAACACCACCTAAAGGGGGCAGCAGCTAGGGCTACGCACACCTAGCACAGCGGCAGCATCGAGGAATAGGACAGGACTGATCAAACACTCAAGAATAGATTGACGG